GTGGTTGGTTGGTTTGGAGGCCACCTCCATATTCATTGTTGGTTGGTTGGTTGGTTGGTTGGTTGGGTGGTTGGTTGGTTTGGAGGCCACCTCCATATTCATTGTTGGTTGGTTGGTTGGTTGGTTGGTTGGGTGGTTGGTTGGTTTGGAGGCCACCTCCATATTCATTGTTGGTTGGTTGGTTGGTTGGTTGGTTGGTTGGTTGGTTGGTTGGTGTTTGGTTGGCTGGTTGGCTGGTTGTTTTGAAGGCTGCCTCCGCATTCCTTGGCTGTCTAGAGCTTGCTGTGTAGACAAGGCTGGCCGTCACAGGTCTACATGCTTCTGCAGCCTGGAAGCACTTTTTAAATTCAGAAAATCTTCTCCTAAGCAGTAAAACTCTTAAAAGCAAATGAGCAGAACAACCGTTTCTTCAGATTTAGGCCATTCTTAGTGATAACAGTTTTAAAATGTTGTCTCTGATGAGTGAATTGGCTACAGATGAAGTGTTTTACTTAACAGCACTTAGAAATTTAGGAGGTTTTTAGATTTTTTTTTTTCAAATAATAAAATTTTGTTGTGCCGAGCTGCTAACATAACTTCTCACCTATTTCCCAAGTCATTCATTAGTGCAGTCCGTTCATATTCAAGCACGGGTCCCACCGTTACTTCCATTATCAGATAGATAGATTGGGCTCACGAGGAGTCACCTGACTTTAGTTTCATAGGGCTCGTTCAGTGGGGATCCTGCCTGCCTGCCTCCTGACAGGCCGCAGAGCCTCATAGGTGCTGGGAAAAAGCAGGGCCGTGTGCAAGCATGTGTGTGGACCGGGTGCACTGTGTGTCAGTGACTCATCAAACTGTCTTGGTTCTCGAAAATCTAACGAGAACATCCCATAGTCAAATTACGGTGTACTCTTAGGTCGTGCTATTTTCTGCCCAGGAACTGAACCGTTTTAGGGACTACCTCAGTGTGAACTCTGTGTGGGCGGTGGTACGGTGAGAGGTGAGCCTGTGGGGGGGGGCCTGCTGTCCTCCCCGCCTTATGTTCAGACAGCTGAGAGCCGACCCTGCCCTGCCGAGCTGGGAATGGAGCGAGCCTCTGCAGTGGGCGGTGGCTCTGTTCCGTGGGGGGGGCGGCTCTGCTCACCGCCGCGCCACCCGCGCTGCGCCACTTGCTCACTGCCAAGGACAGCATCAGAGTGTGCGGATGAGTGCAAAATATTTAGCAATGTCAGAAGACGGTAGCAGGCAAATTCAAGGCCAGCCCATGCAGATTACCCTGGACTTCGTAGTGCTAATTATCCAAAAAAAAAAAAAAAAAAAAAAAAAAGTGGCGAAAATGAGTGTGTTCAAAACCAAACAGATGCATGCCGAGTTCACGGGCTTGTCTTGCCAGGCATTGTTGCAGCCACGTGACAGTACAGTGCAGACAGTTGCTGCCTTTTGCACTTAACAACCATAGCTCGGTCTAAAAGACTTCAGGGGAGAAAGCATTGGCTGACCACCTTAAATTAAAGCTGGACAAACGTGGGGCACGTGCCTCCACACCCGAGGGCAGAGGCAGGTAGATATTTGTAAGACAGCCAAGGCTACGCAGGAGACCCTGTGGAAGAGAAAGCAAAATATTAGTTTTCTCAGCTTTAAAATAAGGAAGTGACGTAACCATTTTGTTCTTTAAATTGAAAACAAAAGCCCAAGCAGAAACTGGAGCCCAGCTGTTGTGGCGCTCACCTTTATTCCCAGCACTTGGGAGACAAAAGGCAGGAGAATCGCTGCCAGTTTAAGGCCGGCCCAGTCTCAAAGACAAGCAAACCAAACCAAAACTGTTAAAATGGAGCGCTTTTCTTGAGGGAATATTGTTTTGTCTGTGTTAGTTTGCTTTCCTCCTCCTGAGTCAACCCTGAGAGCTGACAAAGCTTAGGACAGGGTGCTGGTGAGGGTAGAGGAAGACCCCAGCCTCAACCTCTCGGCTGACCACCAGACAGCCGCATGCCTCCCAATGCTGGGACCACCCGTGTCCGCTGTCATACCTGGCCTCCTTATTCTCTCTTTTGTTTTTCAGGCTTGAGACATGGTTCCAACTATAGCCCAAGCTGGCCTCGAACTGCTGATCTTCCTGCCTCTGTCACCTGAGCACATGCCTTGTCTTGCTGGTTAGTGTGTGCCACTAGAGACAGAAAAATCATCCAGATTCTGGAAAAAAGATTTGACACTTCAGAATATTCTGAATGTACTCTTTTTTTCAAATTCAGGTTCCTTGTGGGTTTGGGTCAGGACTGGGAAGCTGCTGTCGTCTTTTCTCTTGGGTGCTGGAAGCATGGTCCCGTAAGCCTGGAACTCCTTAGCTCCATCAGAATACTGACTGATGAAACAGACAAACCCAGAAAGCCGTTTTCGGCTCCGTTGCCAAAAGTACTTTGAGCTCCTTTACCCTAGGAGGGGAACCAGAAAGTTTTTATACAGATTAGTTCCGTGTAAGAACAAAAGTCCCTTTGGAGTTTACTAATTCCTTCACCTCCCCTGCTGTGCACACTCATTCCTGTGCCTTCATGTAGGACTTTGCTCAAAAGCAGTTTTCCAGAGAGAGGGAGAGCCTCAGCCCCCTCACCCCATGGTGTGTCCCGCTGTGCCTGATTAATTGGGCAAGGTCAGACTTGCCTTTCCAGTGTAACCCCCCTCCCCCCCCGACCTGGACAGACCCTCTGCTAAGAAATCCCAGAAATGCTTTAATGCGCTAGACTTGAGTGGCTCAGAGCAGGCCCACAGGCGCGCTGGGCTTTTGCGGTTCTCTCTGGTGCTAAGTGCTCTGAGAGGTGCAAATTCTCTCCGGGCCATGTTTTATGCCCTCCCTTCTCCCGAAACTGCGGGGATTATGAAGAACTACCCTCTGTTAGAAATCAAGAAAGAAAGAGCTTCTGATCATGGAGCAAATGACTGGCAGATCTGAAAACTGAAAAGCTCTCTTTGAAGGCTGTGAATTCGGCAATAACTGTCTGCTGGCCACAGTCAAGGGTGGCCTTCACCCTCAGGCTGTGGGTCAGTGTGCCAGCCTTTCACAGGGCTCACCTGAGATCATCGGAAATGTCAGATATTCACACCGTAATTCATAACAGCAGCAAAATCACAGTTAGGAAGTAGCAGCGAGCCTAATTTTATGGTCGGGGCGGCCACAAGGTGCGGGACCGAGTTAAAGGGTCGCCTGCTGCATTGGGGAGGTCGAGAGCCTCTGCGGTAGGGTGCTGCCACTGACTCGTCAGGGTATTTCTCTGCTCCTTAGGGAGCCTGGAATGCTGAGGGCCCCTTCTTACGGAGGCCGTGAGGAGGATAACACGTTGACTTGTTCATTGTCAGTGTCTAATTGGGTCTGCAAAAATAGTTCCGCCTCATCGGAGCCAGTGCTGAGAGACACAGCGCTGTTATGTCAGACAGACTCCTTTTGTGTAGCTCTTAATTGCTTTCCCATGAGTTCCTTTTTAGGTCTTATCTGTGTGGTTATTGTACCACAAAGCCAATGACTTCAGGCCTCTAAGCAGCGGGCAGGGGTCGTGGTAACTAGGAACCCTTCGGTCAATAGCTGCCTTGCTTAGGAACTTTAGCCTGTGGCTCTCACAGGACAACCTGACACACATCCATGTGCCGTGTACCCGCCCGTGCCCCGCAGACAGAGCCAGTGCTAGCTTCCAGATGAGCGCTGCGGAGAGAGAGTGCCTGTGCAGCCCTCTCGGCTCGCTCTTTCTGAGCTGCAAGTGTGCCTGGCCCAGGCCACGAGGAGTGGCGCAGCGCTGTGCTGGCGTGCTGGCAGAAGCCGTCCTTTCCTGACACTGGTCTCGGCCTCTGTGTTGCAGCCGCTTCCTACACGGACAGCTCTGACGACGAGACGTCCCCCAGGGACAAGCAGCAGAAGAACTCCAAGGGGAGCAGCGACTTCTGCGTCAAGAACATCAAGCAGGCTGAGTTTGGGCGCAGAGAGATCGAAATTGCTGAGCAGGGTAACAGAACACATGCCTTTTTTCTGCCTGTCCTTTTGTCATGGTAATGATCCTGGGCCAGCCGGCCTGTCTAGACCATAGTTTTTGCTTATTAACCTGAACCGAGTCACTGGCTGAGGCCGACCTCGCATTTGAGACAGTTCTCTGTCAGCCTCCCAGTGCTGGGATTGTAGCTGTGAGGCCGCATGTCTCCTCCTGACAAACATGTGGAAGAGCCTGGGCTTAGCAAACACTGCGGGACTGAGCTCTGCCGGTTCTGGAGGAAACCCTGCATGAGAAGGATGGGCACTGGAGGCTGAAACTGGGAGCGTTTGTCTCTGCAAGAGTCGCAGAGAACGTTCAGAACACCAGCTAACAGCTGACCGGGGAGCTTGCCTGAGCCGTTTTTATGTCTGTTCCTTAACCCTTACCCCCTCTGCTTAATATTCTGTGTCGGGCCTTTTCAGAGATGCCTGCCCTGATGGCTTTGAGGAAGAGAGCCCAAGGAGAAAAGCCTCTAGCTGGAGCCAAGATTGTGGGCTGCACCCACATCACTGCTCAGACCGCTGTGAGTTCTGTTCCTGTCAATACCGGTGAATAATTGCACCTGCTTGCAGCCGGCCAGCACCAGGCTAACGGCATTATTTCTTTAATCCACGGAATGCTATGTAGACAGGTATTCCTTTTCCACTCTGCAAACAAGGAACCTGAGGCCCAGGATGCTTGGGTAACTTGTCCAGGGTCATATAGCTAGGAAAGCGCAGCTCCATGAGAACGTGCGTGTGTCAGTTGAGCAGGAGAGTCGCATCTTCCCCGTCTCAGCCTGGCCGGTGTCCTCCCCGAGGCAGGCTTCCCGCAGAGCTGCCTTCAGCGGCCAGGAAGAGGACACTGACCTCAGCACAGATGTCGTACATTGTGTTGCTAGAGTCCATCCGGGAGGCAGGCTGTGGGCATGGGTGGGGACCTGTTTTACCTCACTGTGACCTTTGGGGAGCTGTCTCCAGAGTTTGCCTACTTTACCCTCAAGCTGAGAGAACAGGGCTTACAGCTGCCTAGTCACCAAGAGCAGCTGCGAAAAGAAGGACTGCTTCTTCTGCTCTCCTCGGTGGGGACGCCTTGCTGAGGAGCTGCAGGGCAGGCCACGGGCCACCCTGAGCTCCCAGAGGCGCGCCGGGGCTGCCCAGCGTTCCCCGGGTGTGCTGATGAGAACTCAGGCCCCTGTGCTCACATGGCAGGCGTGTTCCCACTGTGTCTCCAGCCTTCTGTTGTCTTTATCTCCCTCTCCTCCCGAGACAGGCCTCCCAAGCTCAGGCTGGACTTGCTGTGTGGAGGAGAAGCTGCTGTTGATCAGACACCTGATCTTCCTGCCCCTCCTTCCTCGGGGCACCGTGCCCAGTTAGCTGCTTAGCTAGCTAGTTAGTACCACACCCGTTAGGTAGGTAGGGAGGTGGTTAACTAGCTACTTAGTTAGCTAGTTAGCTTGCTTTGTCCGTCTCCTCAGTGCTGGAGCCGGCACCCAGGGCCTCAGACCGCACAGGCATGCTGTCCCTGAGCGCCTCCCCAGCACACCCGTCAACTTGAAGGAGGCTCTCGCCAGCACACACTTCCACAGTCACATTGTTAGTGGAGGGCAGACAGTGACTCTCCATGAGACGGGAGAGCGTCTGCATCTCCTCCAAGACCTTGCTGAGTCACGTGCTCTCCGAGGACACGAGAACCCTGAATTCCTAAAATTGATACAATAATTAAAACGTCATTTCTTTTTGGAGCTACAGGCTACTGAATTGAGGCAGAAACATGCTTAAACCTTTCCTGGGCCTCTCACAGGAGATTCAGTGTGGAAGCCTAAAGTAAGAAGTGCTTCTCTACTTACTGCGGCTAAGTTTTATCTAACTGAGCAGCAGCACCCTGTGGGCCTCCCTGAACGAATTAATCATTATTAGTTTACCAATTTAACTATCGTTTTATTATTTTCACCCTAATTTTTTCTTTATCCTAAAGGAGTTTTCTTTTTGTTTTTAATCTCTATAATTTTTCTAATTATATGTTCTTGATAATTATAGAATATTCAAATATTACCCCTATATAATATAGAAATACAAAGGCTGAGGACTAGAGATGCAGCTGAGTTAGGAGCATGCTTACCTAGCACCACAAAGCCCTGGGTTTGATCCCCAGCACCATATGAGGCCAACATGAAGGTACATGCCTGTGATCCAGCTCTGAGGAGGCCGAGGCAAGAACAGACATTCTGGGGCCATCCTCCACCACATAGTGAGCTGGCTGGTGGCCAGCCTGGGGCACTGGGTTACATAAGACCCTGCCCCTCCCAAACGAAGGCGAGGAGGGGGGAGGGAGGAAGAGTCTCCCACACCCTTCTAGGATGTAGTTACTCATTTCCTAATCCAGGTGCACCTCCACAGTTCTTCCAACCTAACTTCTCTGCTGCCTCTTCTAAATGATAAGAAAATTAAAGTCAAGAGATGGCTCAGCAGCGAAGAGAGCTTGCTCCTGCAAAGGAGCAGGGATCGGCTCTCAGCTCTGTGTTGGTGGCCTCCGGGGCATCCTCGCCCTCTTTAGGCTTGGCAGCAGGCGCTGCACCCTCTTGCTTGATCAACCCATCTTGCTGGTTCCTTGTCTTAAATTTTGTAGGTGTCTCACTACCTATATAACCCAAAGCAGCCTGGGTGGCCCCAGCTGCCTCCTCACTACCCCCCCCCCTGCTTCCTGAGGGCTGGGTTGTAAGCGTGTGCCACACCGCCGCTGAGCGCTTGAGTGTGTGTTCTCAGGGTTTGTTAAGCTCACAGTTGTGCCAGAATTCCTGGACATTCCCTCAGCGTTTCTTCCATGCTTCCCATTATAAAGAAGAATAGGAGACCCATTGTTTCCTCATCTTATTTAATGAGTTATAATATATTATTTTCAATATTTTGATGCTTATTTTATCCTCAGTTTGGCCAAAAGAATCCCCAAATGTGGCTTCTGTGGCTTATTTTTTAAATTTCTAAAAATGTGTGTGTGTGTGTGTGTGTGTGTGTGTGTGTGTGTTCTCTGTGTGTGTGTGTGTGTGTTCTCTGTGTGTGTCCTTTGAGGTAAAATTTCACTGAACCTAGAGCTTACTGATCTGGCTTGACTAGCTGTCTGTCTGTTAGCAAGCGTCAGCCTTTCTGCTCTGCCTCCCAGTGCTGGGACTACAGGGACACTCCTCCTTGCCAGCCTTTAAGTGTGTGCTGACATCCTTGCACTTTACCTAAAGTGACATCTCTCCACCCCACTTTGTGTGTGTGTGCTCACAGTTGCCTGTATGTGCACATGTGTGTAGAGGACAGAGAACTTCATCAGACGTCATTTTCCCTAAGAGTCACCAGCTTGAGTTTTGAAACAGGGTCACTTCACTATCCTGGTGCTCTCCAAGTAGGCAAGGCTAGCCCGTCACCAGGCTTCAGGGCTCTGCTGTCCTCAGCTTTGCTTTGCTTTGTTTTACAAGCGCATTCTGGAGACCGAGCCTGGGCCCTCGTGCTTGCGAGGTTTGCGTTTATTGTCTCCGGCCCTTCTTTGTCCTTTCCTCGAGCGTTTCCTTGTTCTGCTCTGTGATGCTGCGCTCCTGCCCACTCCTGCCCTCCCTCACCTTGGAGCCAGGCCTTTCTAGGGACTTGAGGCCGCTCTCTGAGGGTCTCGCCCACCTCAGATGTTGTCCCGGACCCTCCTCATCCGGGAACGTGTCCATTCACCAGCTCTGAATGGACTTCTTTTGCTCTGCTCTCTCCATCTCTACTTGGGGACGTTGGTGACATGTGTCGTGTCTGACAGCGTCCCGCTCATCTCGGGAGGTCTGCCCTGCTTCTTGGCTTTGGTTTTGTTTTCCTGCTCTCCTTTCAGTTTGCATTTTACTTTGTAATCTGTTCTGCTGTCTTCGAGTTGACTTCAGAGGGCCCGTTCTGGAAAGACTCTTATAGGGAGTCTCCGCACCATATATGCTTTTCCACTAAATTATGTATGTTTGTTTCTGGCCTTTGTGTTTACTTGTCTCTCCAGTTCCCATCTCTGTGCTAACTTCCCTGCTTGTGAATATTCTTATCTCTTGTTCACAGAAGGATCTGCTGTCAATCATGGTTTTCATTGTTTTAGTTTTTGAGACAGTCTCAGTGCAGCCTACTGCCCTTGAAGGTGAACTTGGCATGTAGCTGAGGATGACCATGAACTTCAGTTCTGCGGGGGTTACAGGCATGTGCCACCATACCTGACTTACGTAGGGCTAAAGACCAATCCAGTGCTGCAAGCATGCTAAGCAAATCACTACCAACTTTTGTTTTCACATCTGGAAAGTCTTTGGTTTCTTAGTCCGTTGGTGTCATGAGCGGCAGGGCACCTTGGCTGTGTTGCGTGAGGTCGGCTTCACATTTCCTGGGCGGCGATGCATGCTGCAGCTTACCCAGGCTGCCTCCAAGTTCCTGAAGAGCAGCCCTGGTGTTTCCTGGTTCATCCTCAGCTCTCAGCTGCTGCACACCAGCGTGCCACGGATGGGGCACTCCTCAGGAGCCTGCCCTACCTGTGGACTGTCTCGGTGTGCTAGGGCAAGCCTTCTTGGTGAAAGCAAGTGAGAGTCGCCAATCTTCTGATCCAGCCAGGACTAAGCGGGCCTCTGAGGGCAGGACTTTCCTAGTGTCCCTATTGCTTTCTGTAACGGCCACTTTCTTTCTTTTAGTAGGTCTAGCAGAAGATATTCTCTTGTCTTTTGTGGAAAGAGAGGATCTTTCTTATTATAAAAGTGACCCACCCTAGGCCTTTTTGGCCCTCCAGCTCTGCTTTCCTCTCCATGAGCAGTGAGTGAGTCTCTGACCCTCATCCCAGGCTTCAGTACTACGCCCTGTCACTCAAGGCCTTTGCCTCCCAGGAGAGGCTAGTGTGGTGGCGTCAGCCCCTGACTCTAGTTTTCCCTGTGAGGACTGGGCAGGCTCCCGGAGCGGAGCTTGCCTGTGAGTGGGAAATCTTGTGTCTAGTCGGAGCAACAGGAAATTCCAAATTACACAGTTCTCCTTACATTTGGCCTTTAATTTACATGTTAGCTAATTTTTCTCAACCTTACAAACGCAGCTACCTTTTCCACCTGTGCTTTGCCGAAAACAAACCAATAGTCCACATCGGGGTCTCCTACTCCACACTGACCTCAAACTTTCGAGGACAGCCTTGAATATTCTGGTTATCTTCCCTCCGCTTACCCAGTGCTGGGATTCCAGACTTGGTGCCACTGTGCCTGGTGTTGGCGTACTCTTTAAAAACTCCTTTATTTATGTTTCTTATAGCTCTTTCTCCCTTCTCCACCTCACTCCTTTCCAACATCCAACACGAGGTAGGAGAAAGGGTTAGTGGTAGAGGGGAGGAAGTTCTCTTAGCTGCTTCCTGCTGGTCAGGGTCATCAGGTTCCTTGGAGCCAGTCCAATCCTCGTTTCAGGAGATCTCCAACTTCTTGTCTCACAAAAGCAACTGGAAGTTGCAAGGGAGACGCAGCAGCAGCCTTGTTCTTTCTCAGAGCTCCCCAACATTCTCTGGGCTCTGGCATTTATTCTCTCTCCAGAGTCCTCAGATTTAATCTATCTGTAGCTGGCCAGGAGCTCCTCTCAGAGCCCACACAAGGAAAACGGTCTGCTGCTGTGGACCATCTGAATCAGGCCCACATCCCACACTTGGGACCAGAACATGTTTACATCCACAGCAACCTGGTTTGATTAGGGCTGGGAATCTAGTCAACCTGGGGCTTCTTGTATACATGGTGAGGACTCTACCAGCTGAGCTGCATCCCTGGCCCTACCTGGCTTTTCATGCTGGAACTCTTGCCTTCTGTATCCTGAGTAGAAGCAGAGCTGGATGTGTGTATTTTGATTTTAAAGTATTTTTTTCTCTGAAACTCATAATTAAATCTTACTGGGGAAAATATAGAGTCCTAATGGACCTGCTTCTCTGCCCCGTGTTGAAAATACTGAAGACGTTTTATAAGACACAACTTGGTGTATACCATATCATCAAAGATAAGACTTGGTCCTGAGTGGTGGCACTTAGGGAGGGGACATAAGGACAGGGTTGCCTGGGTTACCAGAGACCCTGTCTGGAAATAAAGCAAAGGTGAAGCATGTGTTGAGCAGCTGTCTGAGCAGGCCTGTTTGTCGCCTCCCTCCCTCCGTCCACAGGTGCTCATGGAGACGCTGGGCGCCCTGGGGGCCCAGTGCCGGTGGGCGGCCTGCAACATCTACTCCACGCTCAACGAGGTGGCCGCCGCCCTCGCCGAAAGCGGTAAGAGCGAGGGCAGAGCTTCAGGGAGCTCCAGTGCTCCTTAGGAAGCCTTAAGGAAGGCTGACAGAGAGGCAGCTGCCTCTGAAGAAAGGGCCCTGACTGCTGACTTCTGACTGCTGAGCCTGCTTCCTTTGGGAATTCTGTCAGACGTGATCTAGTTAGCCCTGCCTCTTAGGGCTGGCAGGTAGCTGCCACCGTCTGATTTCTAGTCATCACTGGCTTTGGCTCGCTAGTAGCCAGCCAGTGAGCACCCCTCCCGCTAAGGCAACATCATCTGCCTGAGCTGCAGTGTGCGGCTCTGCAGTCCACTCAGCGGCCGGCCCTGCGTTAATGTGCAGTCCGCTTCAGCAGGGGCAGAGAGCGGCCTGCGAGCGTACGTGACCACGGTATCCGCTAAGGTTTGAAGGACAAAAGAAAGGGAAGTTCGGGTTCTGCCAGCCTTCTGTTTTCCCGCTGAGTAGCCCTGCCCCCAGATCTGGGTGCCAGCACTGCTTCTGAGCTCTTAGGAGATGAGAAATCCCTGCGGAACACATGTCCCTCTCCTTTTACTAGCGCTCAGGGCATTTCCTCAGTTCTTTAACTTATTTACAAAAATCTACTGCTTGTATATGATAGAAAGTTATGCAAGTGTTAAATGTGTATCCAGTCAACTCTACGTAAGCATTCACTTCTTTCTCTTTTCTAGCAAATGACTATTGACTCTTAAGAAATAATGAGAAATGTCTTTGCTCTCAGAAAGTTTATAAATGATAATAAAAGACCAGTTTGACAAAATGCCACAACTGATTATAAACCCATATTCAAGACCAGGCGTATTCCTGTCATCCTGGCTTCTAGGAAGGTTGAGGCCAGAGAATAATAGTTCAAGACTTCTTGGGAAACTTAGTGAATCTTGTCTTAAAATAAAAAATTTTAAAAAGAAAGTTGGGGATCATGGCTCACACTTACAATCCCAGCCCTCAGAAGGCTGAGGCATGAGAATGACCAGAAGTTTGAGGCTGGCCTGGACTCCATGGGGAGATATCTCAAAATGACCTGAATGAATGAATGAATGAATGAATGAATGATTAGGGCTGGGGTGAAGTTCGTGGAGAGCACTTACTTAGTATACTCTGTGAGCCCAACTTCATTCCCCAACACTGCAAAAATAAGTAACTGTACGTTCCCTCAGTCATAATGATGGCGTTAGCCGAGTTCAGGCTGCTGTGCTCGCACCAGCTAAGCTAAGCTGCTGCAAGGTGGACGAGGTGCTCAGCTGAAGTCTTGAGCAAGCGTGTCACTAGACAAGAGTGACAGCTTTCTCCAGTGAGCTGTCCCAGAAGGAGCAAGGGGTCTGGGACATGAGGAGACTGGCAGCCTGAAGGACCAAGCGCCCCTGGCGCTTCGCCTTTCCCTGCTGCCCCCATTGTCAGCAGCTCCCGCCTCGTTCTTGTCCTTTCCTGAGCCGGGAAGAGCAGAGTAGCCACTACAGGGAGACGGACGGACTTGACCGGGGAAGAAGTTAGTCCATAAACACAGCAAAGTGAGGAAGTCTGGCCCGGGCGGGATTTGCCGTCCATGTTAATGGATTCCCTCTGTCACCCTCAGGGTTCCCCGTCTTTGCCTGGAAGGGAGAGTCGGAAGATGACTTCTGGTGGTGCATCGACAGATGTGTGAACGTGGAGGGCTGGCAGCCGAACATGGTGGGTCACACTGGCTACTGCAGCGCAAGGGGCGGGCACGATACGGGAAAGATGGCGCGGGTGAGGATGTCCAGCCAAGCCCAGTGAGTGTGCATAGGACACCGCTAGACACCAAACTCCTCAATTCCTCAGGGCGGGTGTGCGTCTGGATCCCTACCCTCAGGAAGCTGACACGAGCAGGTCACGGGTTTGAGGCCAACCTGGAGGCACTTGCATGTGTCAGTGACACTCAAGAGCCAGCCAGCGTTCACACGTGCCTGCCTAAATGCAGAGGTGGCACGTTTCTGTCTCCTCCTGCTGCTCACTGTTCACATGCCTGGCTAAATGCGGAGGTGGCACGTTTCTGTCCCCGGCTGCTGCTCACAGTTGCTCCCTAACAGTCACCATCAGCACCAACAAACAAACATGGGAAGGCATGGCCGCCTTCGGCTCCTGAGGCACTGAGCTTTCTGGACTCCTATACTGAGTGCTTAGGGTGCTTGGAGCACTTTCAAGTGCAATGTCTTCTCTCTCTCTCTCGTAAGATTTCATTTCTACTTCATTTTTGCATCATTGTTTAAAGGATCCAGTCTGAGGGGCTGTGGGTGTAGCTCTGTGGCAGAGCCTTCAACATGCATAAAGCTCTAGGTTTAGGCCTCAGCACCAAAGAATTTTTAAAAAATTTAAATGTAGGGCTGAGCTCAGTGGGAGAGCCCTGGTCGGCATGCTCGAAGCCCTGGTTTTACACTTTTTAAATATACATATATGCACAAAAATCTGATACATTTCTTGCTTTACCAACATTTCTTCATTATTATTAAGAAATTAGAGAATCAGCTAAAAAAGAAAAAGGAAGAGAAAAAGAGAGAAATTGCAGTAGGCATCATTGGTGCCCAGCAGAGAAGCGGTTCTGCTGAAGCTGTGGTCCAGGTCACATGACACCAAGTACTAGCTTGAGGGAAGGGAGGGGGTGCATATCTCTTGGCTTTAAATCTAATTTCATAGTCATGAACACAGAGATTGTGTATTGTACCCAGAGAGCCTTTAGTCTGCACAGCTGCTAGAAGGTAGTGAAGACAGTTGCAAGGGTCAAGGTAGTTGTGGCCTCACAAAACAGGGGTCGTTGGCCGAGACCTAGCACTTTTCCTTACGGTACAACCTCAGGAAGAGGAGGGTATCCGAGGCCAAGAAATTTCTGACTTTGTGCAGTAGGACAGCACAGGGAGTTTCTAGGCTTTAGTCATTAAATAACTCCTATAAATAGCAGCTCCTGGCCTGTGCCAGATACCTTTGTACGAAGGGAAAGTAGCACGGAGACATAGCTCAACTGGCAGTGTTTGCTGGCGCGAACGAGGCCCTGGCTCTGACCCCAGCACTGTGTGAGGTAGCCATGGCCATGCACACCTAAGCTCCCAGCAGGAGGATCAAGACTCGCAGGTCAGGCTGGAGAGATGGTTCCCTGGTAAAGGCTGCCGCCCAGACCCGGGACCTGAGTTAGGGTCCTCAGCCAGGCTGATCCAGTCAGCTCCAGGCTAAGACGCCTGTCTCAGAAGGCACGGCGGAAGGTGGAGCTGGAGAGTTGGTTCAGCAGTCAAGAGCGCTTGTTGAGCCAAGTGTGGTAGCACCCACCTGTAGTCCCAGCCCTCGAGGCTGAGGCAGGCGGATCTCTGAGTTCAAGGCCAGCCTGGTCTACAAAGCGAGGCCACACAGAGAAACCTGTCCCAAAACACTAACTAAATGACTAAATAATAAAGAGTACTTGTTGATCTTGGAGAGGCTCCAAGTTTGGTTCCGAGCACCCACATGGCCGCTCACAGCCGTCTGTAACTAGCTGCAGGGTTCTGTTGCCCTCCTCTGGTCTTCACAGGCAGCGAGCAAATGTGGTGTGCACGCATGCACATACACGCGAGGCACCCCACCTGCCATCCTGCGCTGGTGCCTGCTGCTCCGACAGACCCCTGCCACGGCGACTCCATAAGGAAAGCATCTCCTGGGCTGGCTCCCTCCGTTACCATCATGGGGGAGCGGGCCGGCGAGCTAAGTGATCTGCAGGCCACAGGAAGAGAGGCCGGGCCTGACCTGAGCTTCTGAAGCCTTAAAGCCCACCACAGTGACACACTTGCTCCAGCAAGGCCACAGGTGTAACCTCTCAAATAGTGCCGCCCTCCATGAGCCAGTGGGGGAGCATTTTCACGCAGATCACCACACATCGAAAATAAAAGTCTCAAAAAACAAAAACATTAACAAAAAATGTTAAGGTAGAGAGTGATAGAGGAAGCTGCTCAGCACAGATCTCCGGCTTCTGTACATACGTGTACAAGTGTGCTACACACACACACACACACAGGAGTTCAGTATCTTCAGACACACAGTGAGTTCAAGGCCATCCTCCATCCTGGGCTACGTGAAACTGTCTCAAAAATAAATAATAAAGGAAGACATACACGAGCGTACCGGGACTTGGCACAGAGTTTCCAACTACTCCCTGTTTGTTCCTCCTCGTGTGGAGGGTCACTGGCAGCAAGGGGAACTCCTGGAATCCCTGCACAGGGCAGCGGAGGGCGACTGGTTTGTTCCTTTGTGTGGGGAGAGTTGGAGGCCATAAATGTGTGCGCACAGCTGTGAGGCCGGGAGGCTGCTCTCCTCAGCAGCCTTCTGTGCGCTGAGACGGGGCCTCCGCCACCTAGCACTCCACGGGCAAGCTGGACTGCTCCCCCGCCTCGCTGGCTGCTTTCAGACTTTGCAGCGCCATGCCTGGCTTTCTGTGTGGGGCTGGGGCTTGAACTCAGGTCCTCCTGTTTGTAAGGCAAGCACTTCACTAGCTAAACTGTCTCCCTAGCCTTTTAGGGGGCCAGGGAGAGGAGTGATACCTTTGACCTGTACCCTTAACCTCTCTTTTGGATTTCTTGGTGACATTGGTTTGTAGGTGTGTAGCAAGGCTAAGAGTTCTTAAAGAGAGTCCTACCTTGGTCCCTACCCTCAAGCAAGATTTGATTGAGTCAGACAAGATGGATTAATGGTGGGAGCTCAAGCAGCAGGTTAGATGACAGGCCTGAGGTTGGGCGTTTTGTGTGCCCTGGGATTTGGGGTGGCGTTTTGTAGTCCTTGTAGTGCTGATACACTGGAAGTTAAAAAGAAATGCCAGCAGAGGGTGACGGACTTGTGTGGTGGTGTTCCAGGACTGGAGAAGTCCTGATGCCCCCTGCAGAGGCTTCCCTGCCGGTGGCAGCTGGAGTGGGCTCAGCCTGGTGTTTCTCCAGTCCCATGCGGAGGTAGTGACGAGCTGTCGAGACGCACGCCTGCACACCTGCATGCTGCACGGGTCCCAGCTATTTTTAATCTGGCTAAGGCAGAGTGCGAGGTGGAGCTGGGCAGAACCGCCAGCGCTGCCTGATCCACTGGGGAAGAGTGCCCATGCTTCGTGAGAAGTAACAACTTCAGCTTTCAGAGCCATTGTTCAGAGAGGGAGACTAATTATCTGTCCTCTTATGTAAGCTAAACCTTAAAGTGCTAAAATCAGCGCTTAGAGCGGAGTTTTCTGAAGATCCACAGTGCACTCTGGAACTAGAGGAGAGGTCTTGGTGGCCTCCTGAGCTTTCTCTCCATCAGAAAACTGTGGGCTGATAAAGTAGATCTGTGGCAGGGTCATCTGCCTGAGCGACTGGGAGCTGGCCCTTCTCCCCTGCTCTTTTCTCTGAATATAGTGACTGTCATTTGGTAGGAATTGTGTTAACTCTGGTTTCAAGCTCCTTTGCATCACAAAGTGGGAATGTTGCATCTCTGTACTTTGGTGATCAGGAGTTGGGATAGATGACCTCACAGGCTCTGTCTGAAGCTTCAGCAAGACAAGTAGCATTCTGACACTTGTGTTGCAGATCCTGGATGATGGAGGGGATCTCACTCACTGGATTTATAAAAAGTACCCCAACATGTTTAAGAAGATCAAAGGCATCGTGGAGGAGAGCGTGACTGGGGTCCACAGGTGAGGCTTAGCCGTCCTCGGGAGCCTCGGGTGCACACTCTGACTCACAGGCCTGTAGAACACATTCACTTGTGCTACAAATGGAGCTGTCCGTGAGGTGAGGGCTGTCGCCTGGACACTAAGGACACAGACTGCAAACCTGAAACCGTGAGCGCTCAGATGGAGAAGCGAGTAGCGTCCTCGTGTTTTCTTCTGATCGATACACTGGCTCCTTGCTCTTTTGGCACAAGTTTAATTCATTCAGTAAATATTCATTGAGCTATTACAGTGAGCCAGGTCCTGCTCTGTGCTAGAGACCCACGGTAGACAAAACCTTTGCCCTCACAGCGCCAGGTCTCACAGACAGCAAGGGCTTTGGGTCCCATCACAAGGGAGCAGTGATTCCTTGGATAACATTGAAATCATTTCTGTTAGTCTTATTCACCCATAAGGAATTGAAAGTCTGAAAAAGAACTTTTAGGGAAATCCATTTGAACAAGCCAGCATGGCCACTTTAATATTTTCTAATCTTTTCTTAATACATAAAACTATAGCTTGGGGATGGAGAGACGGCTTCGCTGTTAAGAGCACTGGCTGCTCTTCCAGAGGACCCAGGTTCAATTCTCAGCACACACATGGCAGCTTACAAGTGTCTGTAACTCCAGTTCCAGGAGACCCAACACCTTCACACAGACATCCGTGCAGGGAAAACACCAGTGCACATCAAACAAACAAATGGACAAACCAAACACACATAGTTTACAGCATGCGTCTGTGTTCGTAGAATGGGTACATATTTAAATTGTGTGTGTGTGTGCCCACACGCTCACATACTTGCTCGTCACAGGCGTGGACACAGGAAAGGAGGGCTGTGGAACTTAGTCTTTCCAGCCCATGGGCTCCTTGGATTGAACTCATTGCCAGCCTTGGCGGGAGCCTTCACCCACTGTGCAGCCGCCAGCCCCAGGGGTGAATTTTTAATAAAACAAATACTGCTTATTTCTAACGGACTTAGTTTTTGAACTTGTGTATGTGTAGCTTTGCGATGGATGGGTTTGTATGTTGTTACGAATTTGAAACTATTGAAAAGTCAGAGTCGTTAGGGGGCTGGAGGGATGGCTCAGAAGAGCGCCGGCTGCTCTTGCAGAGGCCCCGAGTTCAATCCCCACACCCACACCGCAGCTCACAGCCGTCTGCGGAGAGAGCCAGCGTACAGGTGCCCGTGTAGTCAGAGCCCTGTGTACATAGTAAATAAATGCATCTTTAAAAGAGTCAAAGTCGGTACCTCAAAGTAGTGGGATTGTGCCACTATTTTAAAATTAGTTCAGTATTTCTAAAATTAGTTCTTTTTAAGATATTTTTACTGTGTTTTTGTATTTATGTGAGTGTGTGCTGTGTTTTGGGTGACCATGGAGACCAGATGAGGGGTAGACTTCCTGAAGCTGGAGAGTAAGCAAGTTGATAGGACCAACATGGCCTCCTGGCAGAGCAGAAACACGCTGCCAACCACTGAGCCACTGCTCCGACCCCAGTAAAAGCCATAAAAATGTATATGGTGGTGGGAGAGAGTGCTCAGTGCTCTGAGAGCTCTTGCTACCTTTGCACAGGACTCAGGCGTGGACCCCAGCATCCCCCTGGCATCTCCAACACCCTCTTCAGGCCTCCACAGGCGCCAGGAACCCATGCGTTACACATACATGCATTCAAGTAAGCACTCATACATGTTTACAGTCTCGGTCTTGCAGTGGGCCTGGTGATGCATGCCTTTGATGCCAGCAGAGGCCAGTGGATCTCTTGAGTTCAAGGCCAGCCTGGTCTGCATAGTGACTTCCAAGCCAGCCAGGACTCCACAGTAAGACCCTATCTCAAAACAGAAGTCTCAGTCTTTAAAAATAAAAATGAAAATATTTATATGTACTCTAAATTTTTCCTTTAAGATCTGGAAATTTAGTTGGATAAAAGATTTTGTCTACATGATTTTTTGAATGTGAGCTTTATTGCAAAGCCATATGTAGCCTCCAGAAATAAAAATTAATCTGTTTCTCAGTATCTGTCTTCTAGGATGAAATTGGTCATGTCCATCAGTATGCTTCAGAGATAAGACATAAAACCAGTTGGGTTGCAGTGTCTCATTGTTTTCCATTCTTCTTGCCTTCTCTCATTCCCAGGCTGTACCAACTGTCCAAAGCTGGCAAGCTGTGTGTTCCAGCCATGAATGTCAATGACTCAGTCACTAAACAGAAATTTGATAACCTCTACTGTTGCCGCGAATCTATTCTTGACGGGTAATGTTTGCTATCCTTGAGGTGATCTTAGGTTATTGACTGAAGGTTCCAGCTTCTTTGGTTTTAGTTATTTCTGGAACTGTTTCATGTTTCACCACATCACACCCAGGACTTGTAAGCCAGAGCTCTGTTGCTATCACCATTACAAGAAAATCTCTTTCATGGGGCTGGAGAGATGGCTGTGATTAGGAGCTCTGGCTCCTCTTCCAGAGGGCCTGTTTGATTCCCACCCTCACATAGCCGCTCACAACTGCCTGTAGTTCCAGTCCCTGGGGACCTGGTGCCCTCTTCTGGCCTCCACAGGTACCAGGCACACACATGATATACAAACATACATGCAGGCAAAGCACTCGTACACATAAAGATAACCAAAATTTTAAAAAAGAAATGCGATTAGGTGCTATTGGTAAGCAGAGTTCGTATTTTGTGTTATTAAAATGGCATAAAGATTATTTTTGAAGGAGGGTTCAGGTGATTCTGTTTCAGGCCATGGTTCTCATAACATACCATGTAGTTCTTAATGTTGTTTCAGTCAGGGAACTTCTTGACTATCTAGAAACTTGTGGCGGCGTTTCTGCTTTCTCTGTGCTGTGAGGGCTGCCAGGCTGATGTGCTCAGCCCCGCCCCCACTGCTGTGTTCTGGCTTTCCTTCATTGCTGCCAGGGAGACCCCACGTGTAGTCGGATTTCGAAAGTGAGCCTGATTTTGGCTCAGGGTTTTAGAGGCGTTGGTCTGTGGGCAACGTGTGGCTAGATAGGATCACGTGATGAGGCAAAGCCAATTGCCTTCTGACTGGGGCATGAAGAGAGTAAGGGAGGGGCTGCGCCCCCTCTCCGCCTGTAAGAGAGTGTTTCCAGTTTGTAGGGAGCCTCCCACTAGGCTCTTATATTCTCAGCGTGTTTTAGTAACTCTAGCAGGGGGACCACACCTTGATCACATGAACCTTTGGGAACATTCTAGATCCAGATCATAGCCCCCAAGTGATTTTCTAGGAAACCGTCAAGGTAGCTTCGGCTGCGCCACGTGCAGTGTGCCTGCCACACGCGGGTTAACAGCAAGAATGAAGGAAGAGTGTGCACCCCTGACCTGACTGCTCGGCTTGGGTGATGAGGCCACCTCAGCTCAGAGGCTACCCCGTTATTTATTCACTGACCTCATTCCTTGTTTCTCCTCTGCATATCTCCTCATCTGCAAAATGGTAGCTTCATGACCTACTCCACAGAGTTAGTGCAAGGGGTAAATGAGACAAGGTGAACTGTTGAGTGTTACCTTCATCCTTCAGAAAAGTCAGGGGCCGTATTTCGCTATGGAGAGCTGGCTGACCTGGGACTTGATGCACAGCCCATGGCCTCAGTAGCACACTTCTCTTTCAATCTTCCACGGCAATACAGGCCTGTGCTACCAAGCGCGGCCTTGCCTGTCTCTCTAGAACCCTCTGTAGAGAAAGTGTTAGGATTAAGTTAGAATCTGGGGAAGGTTTTTGCTGTTTTGTTTTGTTGCCATGTGGTGGAATGTTCAATGCGCATTGTAACTATTGTTACCAAGTATATTACGTGGAGTCAACAGTATTGGCTAGACTGAGCGTTTTAATAAGTTCTTAGCCCAGTAGTCAGCCATCGAGTGTCTGCATGTAAGGGTCACTGTGAGAGATAACTCAGGTCTGACCACATTTATAGTAACTTGTACATATTTCACTGAAGTGTGGGTCTACCCACAACTGTCTTTTAGACTTTTCAAGTGCCAGATCTGTGAAGCTAAAGCTGGCCTATACCAGGATAGTAAAAGATGCACGAAGATAGCTCCTAGCTCAGAAAGTGGATAGACTCCCTCCCAGCCGTAGCTGGCTCCTTAGGTAAGAAGTCTCTTAAAGCCAGAAAGTACAGAAGCTACAGGAGACACGCAGAAGAGCAAGAGTTAGTCTCACAATGAAGAGACAGGGCAGCGCCAAGTGCTCAGCGGTGAGAGCGCCTTGGAACCTGCACGCCATGCAAAGCTGCAGCGGGTCAGGGCGGGCGTTCCCTCTGCAGGGATGAGAGCAGGGAGCGGGACAGTGGCCTGCCCCAGAGGAAGAAAGCTGCGCGGTGGCACACGTCTGTCATCCCAGCACTCAGGAGGCTGGGGAGGAGAACCGAGTGGTTCCGGCTAGTCTTCTTTATGTAACAAATCTGAGGCCAGGTTGTGCTGTATATGATCCTGTCTCAAAACCAGAAAGAGAAGAGCGGGGCGTAGAGGAGAGGCTAAGGGAACATCCACGCGAGGAAAGTGTTAATGTTTACTCCTCTACAGCTCTGAGATGGTCACGTGTTGTGCTAGTTACTGTACACGTTGCTAGGGCCAGTGACCTGGTGAAAACCACTCAGGGTGGGTCACTAGGTACCGTCAGATCACGGCAGAACATGGCAGCGGGGTCACTAGGTACCGTCAGATCACGGCAGAACATGGCAGCGGGGTCATTAGGTACTGTCAGATCACGGCAGAACGTGTCAGCAGGAGCTTGAGGCTGCTGATCATGTCGCCTCCACAGGCAGAAAGCAAAGAAGTGGCTGCTGGCGCCCCCTCACTCCGGTTTACACGGTCCAGGACCCCATCCATGGAGTGGGGCCACCTGCACTGGGGGTCCCACACCAGTGAACCTGACCTTGAAACCCCCTCACAGAAATGTCCAGAGGTTTGGTGCCATGGCGGTTCTCAGTCCCATCATGCTGACATCACGATTCTCCATCACACCCACAAGGGAAGCCCTGTGACTCCTGCTTGGGCTGTGCTGAGATTCTGCTTTGAGGAAGAAGAGAGATTGCACAGGAGCTCCAAACTATAAAGTAGGGTGTCAGCTCGTCCAGGACTCTGGGACTGGCAGAATCCGAGAGAAGTTAAGAGCATTCGTTCTCATGACTCCTCCACAGCTCCTTACTGCTCCCGCCAGTCCTTCCTTGAATGAAGTCTTTTTCTGTCCTTCATCCTGGAGGAAGATCCTGAGCTCACAGGAAAACTCACTGCCTAGCTGGAATCCGTCCATGGCTATAGCCTGGCTGTCATTTGCAGAGGGAGCTGTGTGTAGTTCCAAAGAGAGGGTGCTTCCCCAGGGAGGGGTGAGGAAGAGCCTGAGGAGAGTGGTCCAAGGAAGGAGGCCCAGAAATAGATGTTTCGGTTCTCTTTGCTGCGCTGACCACCCTGAGACCGCTCTGCAAACCCTGACTTGTGAGTGGCGGTAGCCTAGCAGACTCACTCTTCAGCCGTGAGCGAGCATCCTCACGCTCAAGTATAGATGAGCTCCAGCAAGGTACATGCAGCTGTCAGTGGAGCAGACTTAGCAAATCACTGTTTAAGCAAAATGGGTTCTTCCTTTCCTCTGGCATCATAGACCCTTTGCGCCAGAGGGGGCAAGCGCCTAACTAGATAAATAAGTAGGAAGTTTTACGTGTGTTTGGAGAGAATATGTATCCAAACATAGGCTGGATTTTACTGGAAACCCTTTTGTCCTGACCAAGATTCTCAGAAAAAGTAATCTCATTGCAGCCAAAGAGAAAATGGAACTCATTCCTACACATTCTTTCCAGAAATCCCTGAGACCGCAAGGATCAGCCCTTAGAGAAGCAGATACAAAGGTAGACTGTACCAGCTCCGCATCAGCTGCAGAAGGCCTCAAGGCCTCTGCGCCACTGTCCCGTGCTTTCCCTGCTGAGTCAGTGCGGGACCCACTGGCCGTTCTAACACTGCTGAGTGCTTACGGTGTCTCTGAAACCGTAAGCTAGTGTAATGCTTCCACTACGCCACAACTCTCATACTTCCTCCGTATTTGTGTCTTTTTCCTCATCGCTATTCAAAATATAAACGTGTACATTGCTCTTGTGTTTTCAAGCTACCGGGTAATCTATACCTTCCTTTTGCACTCCCAGAAAGAGGAAAATTAAAGATGGGGCAAAGTCACGTAGAGCTAGAGCTGGGTAGATGGACAAAAATGCATACGGGATTGCTTTCTCTCAAAAATGAAAAAAAGTCAAAACAAAAGCACAAGCGTCGGGTAGAAACAGAAGACTTTTTTTCTGACGATGGTTTGGGTTTGTTTCTGTTCCCCTCAGGCTTAAAAGGACAACAGATATGATGTTTGGTGGGAAGCAAGTGGTGGTCTGTGGCTATGGAGAGGTAAGGAACCTTTTACTTGCTGGATGTCGGAAGTGTTTTCTGATTTAAATATTGGAGGGTTTTATGTGCAGCATAAGTACACTCACGTGCCGCCTTAGATGAGAACGTGGCTTTAGTTAAGCACCTTTCTTTGTGCTTTGTGTTTTTCTCAGGTTGATTTTCTGACTTGTTCCCCCACCATGGCTTGTGGTGTTCTTTTAGCTCGTGTTTTGGTTATAAGTCACGAATGTGGGTGTTCTCGTGCATATGAATGTGCTGAGCAGGGGCCGGGGGTTGTTTATGAACTACACTTACTTGTTTTCTTGCTGTTCCCTAAGCACGAATCTATTCAACAAACTTGCTTTGTGGGGAGGGAAGAGGGTGCGCGTCCTTTATCAGAAACATTGAGAAGCGTGTTTTCCTGACTTGGCGGTGTGTGCTCTTTTCTTTCCTGCTCAGGTGGGAAAGGGGTGCTGTGCTGCCCTGAAAGCCATGGGCTCCATTGTGTACGTGACCGAGATCGACCCCATCTGCGCCCTGCAAGCTTGGTAAGCATGCAAGGGCGCCCTGCCCTCCTTTCCATCGTGTCTGCCTTGTGGGACTGCCATGCCACGGCTTACCTGGTCCCCAGGGAACTTGCAAACTCCGAGCTTCTGGCTTGCAAGGGCGAGGAGCTCAGCTCTGAGAAAAGTGAAAATTTAGAATTCATGTGGAAATAGTATCGGGGAATGCTTTGATGTGAGGGACAAATATCCCATTAATGCCTCTTTTCCTATGTAATCCCTGCCCCTTTGAAAAGGCAGGCCCAGAGGCTTGTTCACCTGACCAGGTGCTGGCTGCTGCCCTAAAGTCAGTCTCCGCCTCACACAGCTGCCCTCTGACCTCCACCAGTGTGCGCGCATACACACACACACACACACACACACACACACACACACACACACACACATTTTTAAGTTCATACCTGTAATGTTAGCTTTCCTGAAGCTAAGGTAGAGAGACTGTGAGTTCCAGGCTTTGGTTACAGAGTAAGACTTCGTCTCACCAGCCGGGGCTACAGAGTGAGATCCTGCCAGGAAGAGAGAGGAACAGAGACTGGCTCGAGCGTATGCTGAGGTTGGACATGGGTCAGGCTTTGGCAGGAGGGAGAGTACGAGGGAAAGGCAGTTGCCTATGTCAGAGACCTTCTGATGTAATTACTACACTAAAAACACTTCTGTGGTTGTCCTCCCAAAAGTGTGCAGTGGGAATCTGAGAAAATACCAGTTAAATCTAAGCTAAGAGTGAAATCTGCTAACTCTTGTTTCAAGACAGGGTTTCTCTGTGTAGCCCTGGCTGGCCTGGACTCACTTTGTAGACCAGGTTGTCCTTGAACTCACAGAGCTCTGCCTGCCTCTGCCTGCCAAGTGCTGGAATTACAAGTGTGCGCCACCATCTGCAGCAAAATCTGCTAATTCTCATGAAGAATATGTGGGCAGTATTCTTATAACTCTTGAGGTTCAAATGGAAATTTAAATTTTTTTTTTTTAAGTTTCTTTTTCCTCTCTCAAATGTGGATCCTGGCAGGGCACACCTCTAATCCCAGCACTTGGGAGGCAGAGACAAAAGGATGAGTCAACACCAGCCTGGTCTACATAGTGAGTTCCAGGCCAGCCAGAGCTGCACAGTCAGGCCCTGTCTAAAATATAATAATAATCAACTAAATATAAAATGCAGACGATCATCCTTACCTCAAGTAATTTTTAGATGCTATCATACATTAAGTCATAAGCATATTACAGGGCTCAGAGCTGTGGTCAGAGAACGGATCCTAACTGATAACTGTTACTAAATTAACTCTACCTTCTACCGAGTGAAAAGTGCCATGGCCACTAAAAGCTACTGCAAAGTCCAAGTTTATGTAGTGTGTCTCTATAGTTTATGTTTTCTGTACACTGTTGACCACCAAACCTCTGGAAGAAGGATACTGAGATAGAATGAGGTTGGAGCAAAGCCTTTCCATCTGTCCTGCCACTCACAGAGCCCAGCCGGAAGCACCAAGGCAGAGTTCCGCAGTAGAGTCGTTGGCTTTCTGTGGGTGGCTTCAGAACCGAGGGCCATCCCCTTCCTAGGACTGTGTGCTCCACACAGAAACCTGAGCAGGGCGCGATGGCCCTGCAGCACAGGCTGTCCCACGGCCACGAACAGTGCCTTCCTGTGGGCCCAGGCCATGTGCGCAGGGGCAATGAGAGCAGAAGCCTCGAGGGCCAAGGCCCTGCTTTTAACCACGCACACGTAATCCTTGTGCTGTGTGGCCAGCACTGTGGGCAGCATGCACGGAAGGAGTGTCCTGACACAGACCAAGGCACTGTAGACACAAGTATGTTTCCTGTGCAAGGAGCAAGCGCACAGCCTCCAAATAGAGGCCAGCACAGCGCAGTTAGGGAGCTCCCGGGGGATAGAGCTGCGGAGCGGAGATATCCGAGGTCAGCGTCACATGACAACCTCTTATCCTGAAGTATTTTAAGCACATAAATGGTATGTTCCAAATTGCACTTAGGGAAACCACTCTGCAAAATGACTTTGAGAGATGTAACCTAGAGACAGTGAGAATGGGCCACGTGCTGCTGGCCTGAACTTAGCAAAGCCAGGATGTGTGGGTGAAAGGGGCCAAAGCAGGCACAGTGGCACACACCGCTGCAATCGCACACCGCAAGAGAATCGCCTCAAATGTGAGGCTGCGTGCTCTACACAGTAAGTTCAGACCCTGTCTCAAAACACCAAAAAGGTTGTGTGGGGCTATAAATTCAAGAGACTTCAGGAACTCAGAAAAAGGATCACAAAGACTCGACCACAGTTTCAATTAGGAAGAAACGGTTACTTTACTTGGCTCATACTCTTGGATTATGCTATTGCTCGGGGTAAATAGAAGAAAAACAGGAGGGTGTGGAGAGGGTGCTGAGCTTATTCTCAGACAAGGTTGGGGCCCTTGTAGGGAGTCCTTGAGATATCCAGGGGAATGTTTAGTCCTTGGCGTAGCTCAGCGATAGGCTCTGCCTTGTTTGCCGAGCTCCCGACACTGGGAGCGAGAGGCATATGTGCCTGCCATGTGAGTGATGATTAACAGCCAAAGGCAGGATAAGCAGGGGTGTGAGAGAGCAGAGAGGAGTCCAGCGAAGACCCCACGCAGCACCCGTGTGAATACGGGGAAAGCCTGAGAATGGAGCCAAGTGCCCCGCATGGGTAAGGTCCTGGCTCAGTCCCCAGCACTACAGAAAGAAGGCAGTTAGGCTTTAAGAAACTGAATCATGCTCAATGTGGAGAGACATCAAATACAATAAGGCACTAAGGAAAAACTGTTTGTTTTTGTTTCAGAATTTAATTGACGACCTTACAAGAACAGAACAGGTTCAGTGAGAATAGACTCACTCAATGGCCACAGGTCAATTTCTAGAAATTTGGTTTGGGGTCTCATGGCAGTCCTTACCTGGCTCCCTTCATTAGGAAGGAATAGTTTCAGGGGTGCAAAGGGAGCCTTTACATTCCTCCACATAAACTAAGGAGAGGATTTGGACTTTTGACGATGGGAAGCCCCAGGCAGCTGTGGCAACGCGTTCCTGTAATTCCAGCACTAGAGAGGAAAAGGCTTAGGATCCTGATTTTGAGGCCAGCCTGGAAACACTCCAGCCATCTGCCCAGTGACACCGTGGCTCCCTAAGGAACTCGGAGATGGCTTTGGGGGGAGACTGGCCATCTCCTGGCTGAGCTGACTGCCCCGCTTTATCTCTGCAGCATGGACGGGTTCCGGCTGGTGAAGCTGACTGAAGTCATCCGACTAGTGGACATCGTCATCACCTGTACAGGTACAATGTGCTCTGTCTGGTGGGGCAAGGCTTAGGAATGTTTCCATGGAGCAAGTGAAAAGTGGTTGAAAATATTGAGGATAAAGCCAGAGGTAGGGGTTGAGAAGGCAGGGTGGCTCATTTGGTAAGATACTTGCCTTACTAATTCCAAGAACGCATGTAAAACGGTCAGGCCTGTGTGGCTGCTGAGTTGGCTCCGTGGTTAAGAGCATTTGTTGCTCTGCAGAGGACCCAGGTTCCCACAGAGGACCTAGTACCCACATGGTAGCTCTCAGCTGTCTATAACTCCAGTTCAGGGGATCTGACACCCTCCTCTGACCGTGGGCACTGGACATATGTACATCAGGCAGGAAAACACCGAAACACAGACAATAACTGGTCGTTTTTAACACCAGACACAGTGGTGTGCACTCCTGATTTCAGCACTGTGGAGTCAAACACAACAGGCACGCGTGCAGACAACAGAAAGAAAAAAGTCTCGCTGTCTCCTTTTCCCACACAGAACTCTACCGAGCACAGGCCTTTAAGTGATCCCTACAGAAAAGTGTCTGTCCATCCTCTAGCTGGGTCTCTGCCTTGACCTCCTAGGCATAGCTAGAAATCAGACTGAGGAGCATGCACCAGTGATTGCTACCAGGACCTCGGGACGCTGAATATGTGCTCTGCCCCTGAGCTCCTGTCTCATCCTGTCAGCTTTTGTTTTACCCTAAAAGCACACGCCATTAATCCTAACACTAGGGTTATAAAGGCAGGAGGATCTCTGAGTTTGAGGTCAACCTGGTCTACATAGTGAGACTCTGTCTCCAAAAGCGAAGAAACAAAGCAAATGTGCATATATATAGTCCCTGTGAATTATAACAGAGAAAGAGCAAAATGCTTCATGGTTAGAAAAAGCAGAGTCAATTCTAAAACAGGTAGATTTTTAACTTTAGGGAGCAATGTTGAAAATGGCTGTTTTTTTCAGATTGAGAAGCGTATTATAATTGTATACTAGAACCATAAGCCACAGGAATACTGGTTTTCTTCTATATAATTCTCTTCGAGAGAGGAAATAAGTGTTTACAGCTTCGGCGGGAACTGGGAGCAGAGGACGGGCTGTGGGGAGCGCCTGCTCCGTTCCTCATTCCTGGCTCCCCTCCTCCCCGTGCCAGGGACTGAATGAACTTATTTTAAATAGCGTGAGCGGGATGTGAGTCCATGTGGCTTCCACCCATATGTGTGCAGCTCTGTCTGCAGTTGGAGCTCAGAGGGCCAGGGCTGATCGCCAGCACCAAAATTCAGTACTTCATAAGAAATCCACAGGGTGGTATAACTGTTACAACTTTCTGTTGGAGTTCAGTTTGTTAGCGCGGCGTTTGCCTTTGAAGAGTGTACAGCGAAGCGGCTTTTACCAGCATGGAGCACCCTGTTACCTAATTCTAGAACACTTCATCACACCCACAGCCTTCTGTCCAAATGGTCACTCCTTATGACCTCCTTCACACACCTGTGAACATGAGCACCCACTACCCTTCGGGCTGCATATTTGCTTTTCTGGACGGTCCATGTGAGATAAAGTCCTACCTATGTAGTCTTTTGTGACTGGCCTCTGACTTAACATGCTCCTTCCAAGTTCCATCCACATAATATCTGCGGCTTTACCACAGCTTTTGTCTGGTGAATATAGGTAGATGTTTGGGTTGGTTTCACTTTGGGGTGATTGTAAATAATGCTGCTGCGAACATTGGAGCCAAGTCTTCGTGGGGACGTATTTTCAGTTCTCTTGTCTGTATAACCAGGGGTAAAACTACTGTCGTGTGGTAACTCTTCAGGGCCAAACTGCTGTTCACGCAGCAGCACAGTTGCACAGTTAGGCCCGCCGTGCCTGAGGCTCTCCATTCCTCTGCACCCTCAACAGTTTATTACTGTGGGCTCTTTTGTTTTTGTTTTGTTGGGGTTTTGTGTGTAATGGGGGAGAGATTTGAGACAGGGTTTCTCTGTGTAGCCCTGGCTGTCCTGGACTCACTCTGTAGGCTGGACCTGAACTCAGAGATCCGCCTGCCTCTGCCTCTGCCTGCTGAGTGCTGGGATGACAGGTGTGAGCCACACACCCAGCTTATTATTAGTTTTTCCATCCAGTGAACATGAAGTAAATGCTTTTGATGGCTGGTGATGTTTTCCCTTCATCCCTGTGCTTTTTGGCTATTCGTATCTTCTCCAGAGAAATATCTTTTCAGGCCCTTTGTTTTTTTAAACACTTCCTTAGTGGGGTCACTTACAGCAAGGACTTGTGTGTTTATTGATGTCGTCAGTCTTCTTCAGTTGCTTATGTTTAAAGTGCTGTGTGGGAGTAGAGTGTTGCCAAACCTGAAGCCACGAGGACTCCTCTGCGATTTCCGTAAACAACTAAGAATTCTATAGCTTTTGCTCTTAATAATATGATGAATATGGGATTTATTTTTACACACTGCATTATATATGTGTGTGTGTGTATCCTATGAGGCAGGGGTCTAACTTCGCCTCTCCTCGTGTGGCCTCTCTTCTGCGCTAAGGTAACAAGAACGTGGTGACCAGGGAGCACTTGGACCGCATGAAGAACAGCTGCATCGTGTGTAACATGGGGCACTCCAACACCGAGATCGATGTGGTAAGACCACTGCTATCGCTTTCCATCCATCCTCCTTCCCGGGTAACAACACGGAAGAAGAAAGGCAGGGTCACCAGCTAGCCTAAAGGAAAAAGAGTATTGTTCACTTAGCAGCCACACAGCCTGTGCTCAGGGGCAGAGAAAAGCTTTTCATTGCAGTTTCTTCAGGTGACTGTCTCCTTCCACCCAGGCTGACTGCCTACCGCACTGTGAAACATTTCTCTCCGTGTGAAGAGTTGGGAGCTGGATGAACCCAGCATGATTCAGAGCGGCTGTCAGTATTTGGGGATGCTCAGTTTTACATAAAGATGCGTAGGCTAGTCCGGGGGAGACACTGCAGGGAGAAAGCTGTGGGCTCAGATGGGCACACTGCCGTTGATGGGCCGTGTCTGTTAGACACCGCGGTCTCGCCTTTTCTTTCTGGCCTGGGTCTGTCCTAACATCCCTCTCGAGTCGGAGTAGCTGCGTGTGCAGGTAGCGCCTTCCGCCCAGAGCCCCTGTGTGACGGCAGGCGTCCCTAACCTGGGGGTCTGTCAGTGTTCCTCTCCACCCTGATCATGCTCCTCCAAGCCGCTCACAAATTACAGGCGATAGGGGTGCGTTGACCTCTTTTCAGATTCACCAAAGTATCTCTCAGTGTGACTTTGACTCTGGCATTAAGTTTTTGTGGCATTGTATGACAGGTCTGTCTTTATATCTGTGGGTAATGGCTCAACCATAGCATGCTTTCATCTCCACTGAGGGCTGCTGTGGTTGAGCTTCAGCATTTCAGGTAAGGGCCAGCTGACATTGAGAGCCTTGTTGGATAATCTTCATTTTCTGTGGTTTTTCCTTGTCGCCCTATGTCATATTCTTCTGTTCTTAGAAACAGCTGACTGGGGATGTAGCTCTGTGTCAGTGTTGGACACACACACACACACACACACACACACACACGAGGCTCCAGGCTTAATCCTTGCACCCCAGCACCAAAGAGAAGGAAGGACATAGCCAGCAAGCTAACCTGCCAAAGCCTGTTGCCAGCCTGGGGTTCCTAAGGTCGTCCGCCATCACTCCATCTTGTCACTGTAGTGTGCTTACAGTTGATAGGTGGTTCTTGGCAGCAGGGTCGGTGGGGATCCTCTTATGTCTCACCTGTGTGCCATGAGTGAAGGGCACCTTTACTAGATGATCAGAGATGGGGGGAGGGAAAGTCTGTCTTTCTACAGCCACAGGGAGCTCTGCGGATCTCTCACACAGTCATCTAACTTTGCGACTTCCCCTTTCTCTCCTTCCCGGCTTTGACCCCCCTGTGGGGAGTTATCTGAACTTTAAACCGGGAAGCACGGACAGTAATACACTAATAAGCCAAACCGTTGATGCAAAATAAAATTCAAGCACAAAATTCCAGTGTTTGAGCCGGAGTGTGTGGCGGTGCACACCTTTAACCCAGCATTTAGGAGGGAGGGGCAGGCAGATCTGAGTTTGAAGCTGGCCTGGTCTGCAGAGCAAGTTCCAGGACAGCCAGGGCCACCCAGAAAGTGATGATGATAATGATAAGCTACGACTGTTTCAGAAAAAGAAAAGATTTCAGGTGTCAACTCCAAAGCTTTGTTTTCCATTTAAAGACAGGCCAGACATGAGTAATTGCTCAGAATAAAGGTCGAAAGCCGTTTTCCTTGCATCACAACCATTGTTGTGTGATTGCTATACACCAGCCGCACTTGCGGATGCTTAGAGTCCATGAACACAACAAATTCCTACCTCAGAGTTCATGTTTAAGTGGGAAGAAAACTAATCGTAATAAGTAAGCAAAATTCTTATGATTAAAAAGTAAAAAGACAGCAGGAAAAGGAAGTAGAGCATGGCAGAGGACGGAGCACTACGTTGTTGTTTTGGTAGAAGTGTCATGCTATGGGCCTGATGCTGGGAGGATCTTCAGCAGCAGCAGCTGGGACATGTCTGGAGGCAGAAGGGACCCTGCTGTGTCTGGGGATGAAAGGAGCACAGGAGGGAAGAAGGGAAGGTGGGGGCTGAGGAGGACTAGGCCAGGCCTTTCAGGGCCTTCCAGCCCGTCCCAGGAAACAGACAGGGAGCCCTGAAGGTGTCTAACGTTGGCGAGTGTCAGTATGATGCGTTACTTCAGAAGGACCACCCAGGACAGCATGCTGAAATGAGGCCTGCATTTGCCATTACTGCTAGGTAGACCCCATGCTTGCTACATCAGGAGCCAAGAGACAGCTCTCTCTTTTCTCTGAATTCTTTATGGCATAAAGTATATGCCAGATTAAATGGTCTAGAAAAGATGCCGCTCAGAAGGTTTTTGAAAGTTAAATTATTAGTGTTTGATGGTATGTCACAGAATATGTAAAACAAAATGTAAAGTAATAGAAAACTCCTGGTTGCAATCCCAACACTTCAGAATGTTACAACAGATTGCTGCGGGGGGGGGGGGGGGGATTCAAGGCCAGCCAGGGCTGCATAACAAGCTTTACCTCAAACAAAACAAAACAAGAAAACAGCAAACTCAGCCAATAATTAGAACCAGGATGTTCATTCATTATTTAGCGAGTGTAAACTGAATACTTGGCCTGCTCAGTCCCAAGTTTTAATTGAACAGCATCTTGCTGCTTGAAGAGTTTATATTCCTGTGTGGGAGATGGATGATAAATAAGTCAACAGTTACTCTCTGTGCCGTATTGAATAAAAAACATGATGAGGGTGTTGAGAACACTCTTCTAACTGAAATGGTCAAGAAAGGTATTTTTGTGGATATAATATTTGGGGACGGGGAAAGATGAATGAAAGATAAAACAAGATATCTGAGTAGTGTATATTCAGAGAGAATGGTCAGGCAGGGCTGTCGCTCAGTGGTAAAACACCAACCCTGCAGACCCGAGCTGAATCCCTGGAAACCACGTGAAGGAGAGAACCAATCCCTGTACATGCATGATCCTCTGACCTCCACACACATTCCATGTCTGGACCAGCAGACACACAAAGAGGCATAAGTAGATCAATGGGGAAGTAAATGGAATCTTTGAAAGATGAAGTCTGGTGACAGTGACAGAGTAGAGAGAAAGGGAGGTGAGGGCGGAGGAGGCAGCTCGAGGAGCTGAGGGGTAAGGCAGAGCCTGGGGGCTCATAGTAACTAGATTTTTATCTACATAGGAAAGAGGCTGCTGGACAGTTGGGAACAAGTGGATGAAAAAATGTAGCTGGTGTATTTTTAAAGTGTGAGCCTGGCTCTTGCGTAAGGGTGCCCCTCTGGGCTCAGGGAGTGTAGGGACAGCAGGAGGCTCTTGGGATGCAGGTGGGTTTAGGGGGCAAACAGCAGAGGGGTGAGACTTAGGGTTGTGGCCAGGGGGCCTGCTCACTCGGGGAGAAAGGGGGTTCTCCAGAGATCACCTTAGTGTTGCTACCTAGACTTCTCTTGACTTACTCACTCAGACAGATAATTGATCTTTTGTAACCAAACTTTAGAGGAGAAACTCTCTAGACTGTTACTATAGAATAGTTATCCAGCCAGGTGTGTATTTTGTTTTGCTTTGTTTTGAGACAGTGTCTCACTCTATAGGAACTCAAAGAGATCCACCTGCTGGCCAGCCAGAGAGTTTTATGATCAACCCCCTAGTTCTTGGGGGTTGAGGTGAGAGGAGGTTGGGATTGAGGCCTGCCTGGGCTACCTGGAGAGCTCCAGGCTTTGGAGGGCTGTGTGCAGGAAGAGCCCCTGAGGCTGTCTCCCCAGAAATTCTTAGGTTTTCTTTTCCTCTTTTGGGTAGGAATTTTTGGTTTTGTCTAACCTTGAGATGTTGCTTGCTGTATATTTCAGGAAAGAGTAGTTCATGAAAACTGTTAGCCATTTAGAAAGCTGTACTTTTCTTTCCAGAAAACTGAATTCTATGAATACTGGAGAATCTGCAGTAGCCTACTTGCTGGCCAGCTCTTTCAAGTGACAAACCATTATACACACATGCTTTCAAGGGCGTTTTCCAACCAAACAATGATTTTGACTAAGCCTTGCTGTCGATGCTGTGCTCCCGGTGGGGCAGCACTGTGCACTGCCGAGAGCCACGGAAGGTCAGCGTGTGCCGGCACGGTGCACGTCCAGGGGTGTGCCCACTGTGGGAGAGGGCGTCTGCCTGAGCAGCCCTTTTCCTCAGAGTGCTGAGTGTCAGTGCACAGCAAAGCCAAGTTAGTGCTCCTCCCGCTCCACCCTTTTCAGAGTGGTGGTTCCAGAGACTGAACCCAAAAGCACGTGTTTTACCACTGGGCTCCTCTCCCAGCCCCAGCTGGTTGACTTTAGAGTTATTGTGCCAATTGTAGGGTCGGAAACACTGGCAGGGAGTGCTGCCAAGTAGCTGTCTTCATCGTCAGAGCATTGACCCTCCCTGGAAAATGGTAGAGATAAACTAGCCAAGCTTCTCTTTAAACCTCCTTTTAAATTGACTATCAAGGGTTTTGCCTGTAGAGCAGCCATTCCTGCGCTTTTCATATGCCGCCTCTTCTCACCGTTGACCGTTTTCCTATGTTCATAAACACTTGCCCATGCCGTGGTTTCACCATATTCCTCCCAGGGAGCACTTCCTGAGATGGTAGACTCTCAGTGTCCTGTTGTCCGCTCTTTGCCCCCATCACCAAGATTGAACTCCTTAACGTCTTGTCTCATTAGGAAATGCCTGAGTTACCACAGAGCTGCATGTATGGCCAGAGGCGGTCCCATGCCTCCATGTGGTATTTTCAAAGTCTAAAGGATTTATTTTATATATATATGCCTTCTCCAGTTGTCTGCTTGCTTCACTTATTTTTAGCCCTGTTCACATCATTTACGGACCGTGTACTTGCCTGTGCTGCGGAGGGTCAGGTCCGAGGTTTCGCACATGCTGGCCAGCAGCACCGCCGAGCGACGTACCAAACCTGTCACTGTCGTGACACTTGCTGTTACCATTACTACTATTTCATCTGCTGTTTCTTTTTAGCGTATCACATAAACCCGCTGGAGCTGACTGACTTAGTGATTCCCTTGTTGGTTTATGTTTGTTTGCTATGATAGATAATGTTAGAATGGCCATTCTTGGTTTGCTTTTGCTTTTGTTTGTTAAGACACAGTTCTGTTCTAGCCATGGCTGGCCTTGAACTCTGGATTCTCCTTCCTCCCCCTCCCAAGGGTTGGAATGGAAGCATGCACCCCTACACCTTAATTAAAATTCTTAGGCACTTAAATTCTTGACTTGAATAAATATTTGTTGTAGGACTCTAAAATTAAATTAATTGATGAGAATTATATACCTATAACATTTTGGTAGTTACTGTGAAATAGCTCTCAAGAATGAGTGAACAAATTATGAAACTTATGTGTCAAATTTTACTTTCCAACATACCTAATAAAGAAATGATGGTCAAGACCGCGAGTAGACCCAGCCCTGAATACACTACAGTGTAATCACATGCCTTCCTGCACCATTAGGCCGCCATTTCCTCAGAGGCAGGGACCGTGACTGTCTAAACATCTAACTGAGCACCCATCGTATGTCTAGAAACAATTTGGAGATTTAAAAATGAAAAGATACTGTCTGTGTGCAGAAATTGCTCATCTTCTCCTCTCAGTGTTTGTCCTTTATTACAGCGCCTAGAATTCTGTGTACCTCAACGTGTTTCTCTTGTCTGAGGACTAGTGTTTGGCAAAGCTTTTCAGTTTTCCCAGATGAACTGATGGGGTAGTTTTGGATCTGGGCTCCCTTTGTGTTTCAGCTGTTGCTTACTGAAGAGGGCAGTAGTTGTCCTAAGTCTGCACACCCGCGACTGTCCTTTGCTGCTGCTGATAATAACTCACCATCTCCTCTTTTGCCCTCTGAACACACACTGCACAGAAGTGGAACGAGGGTGAGCTGTTAGGCACGTCACTCTAGCACTGGTGTTCCTGACGAAGCCACCTCACGTTTGCACTTAGGGCACAGAGCTTCTGTAGAGTAAACCAGCCTTTGGAGGTGTGACCGGAACCCTGGGCCAAGAGGGCAGAGCCTTGGTCCCCAGCATGCCGTGTTTAGGACGTTCAGCTAATCCCACCTGGCTCTGCTCTTCTCTTTTTCCCTGTCTCTTTAGCACTTATGTGTTCGGTTTGCACCATATTAATCTGCACCTGTTTGCATGTGGCTTTGTACTTTCTTCTCACATATGTATTGTTGTGTCCCCAACTGAAATGTGAGCTTTCTGAAGGCAGAAACCATGCCTTTGGTTTCTTTTGTATTTCCCGTAGCACCTTTTACTGTGCTCAGCAGAGAGCAGGCGCACAGTATATGTTGTGGAATGGCGTCCTGAGTGATCCCTCCCTGGCTGAGCCTAAGATTAAATTCCCTGAAATGGAACGGTCCTAACCAGCCCAGGACAGGTATTCCTCATCTGGCATGTTGGTTGCTTCTTTCGACTTGCTATTTGAAATGGCTCCTGCAGCATCTTTCTGTCCCCAGTGTGGGGCTTGCCACAGCCAATAATGTTCTTACTGTATGTTCCAGGCGAGCCTGCGGACCCCAGAGCTGACCTGGGAGAGAGTCAGATCCCAAGTTGACCATGTGATATGGCCTGATGGCAAGAGGATAGTTCTGCTGGCAGAGGTAAGCCTGAAGCTGAGAGAGAGCTCCTCACTGACAGGAGACACTGCCATTCCCGGCCTGCCTCCTCCTCATGTTCCCTGATCCTTCAACCCTGTCTCTGCAGCACAACTTCAACTACTTTACCAGAATTTACTTCTGATGTGAAAGGTCCTTTCATTCAGCAGTTAAGAAACTATTTTGGTCCCGCTCTTTTCACCAATTTCCTGCCTCCGTGTCGTCTCCAGGCTGTCAGGAAATGGCTACCCGTGGAAGGAGTTAGCAGATAGTCAGTGCCCGTGAGCTCACAGAGGGTCCTTGGTGGGGTTGGATCAGCAAGCACAGAGGTACTCCTGGCTGTAACTCAGGCTGTCTTTGCGAAGCTGTGGGGCAGTCTTCACTGACAGCATCTCTCTCTCAGTGTCCTTTGAACTGATGAGCTGACCAGGCGTGTGGTAGGACCCCAGCTTATTCTGTTAGTGTTGCTTGATGGGTAGTTCCCCATCCTGTTCATCGAGCCCACACATACTGCTTTTTTTTCCAGTGCAGGGAGTTGAACCCAGGTCCTCACACATGTGCACATGGGCAACAAGAGCTCCACCGCTGAGCTGTGTTTCCAGTGCGTGGGGAGGGGGCAGTCACGTGCATGTTCTCTCTTGTACGTGTGGAGGTCAGAGGGCAGCTTGCAAGGGTCAGCTCTCTACCGTGTGGGTCTTGGGGATCAAAATGAGGTCATCAGATCGGTGGGCAGCAAGTACCGGTTACCTGCTGGCTGTGTTTCCTGTAGTGAAGGCCCTGCCTATCTGGCCGGGGTTCCTGGGTGCTGGGAGGCTTCTTGTTCTTCCCGTGAAGCTTTCTCTTTCAAGGAACAACTCCTGATATCAAGGGAATAAAAAGACTATTCCTGAGTTTCAGTTCCCTTCGGTTTATTTCGTACATTGAAGAAACTGAGTATGAAAATGTAAAGTATCATCTCCTTACTTAGAGGCACATAAGGCCAACATTGCCTGTTCTTACTGTTCTTTTTCTCCCTTGCCCTTAACTTAGCTAACATTCTTAAATGCTTTAGGGCATGTCTAGAAAGGCATGTGTATGGATAAAAGAACAGGTTGTTAAATGTTTATTAATAGCCTTGACGTCAGCCCCCTGTCTGGCAACATTTCTAAAGTGCCCTGGGAGGTCCCTCTCTGCAATTTTGGTGACAAAAGTAGGCACTAAAGGTGTTTTTAGTAGTCAGGCTTCCTAGGAAACAAAGCAAGAAAGGCCAGCATGGGACAGGTTTTCACTCCTTTACTGTCCTTACTGTACACCCAGAATTCAAGGCCTTTGGAGCAGAGAGAAACTGAGAAAAACGCAGCTTCCTAAATCTACCGTTGTTCTCTTCCCAGCCTGGAGATTTCCCCTTGCCTGAGACAGGCAAAGGAAGATCAGCCCTCAGGAGAAGGGTATTTTGCTTAGGGAATGGGAAATGGAGAGAATTTCACATTCCGCACTGTCATAAGACTGCCCTTATTCTCTTTTATATAGTCCCAGAAATTGTTTAAGTAGAGCAGTTACCAAATTTTCAGTGCTTTCCCTTGGATATCAGTTAATTCCAAAGAAGATGTGCAAATGGCCAACTAACAAAGGGAAGTATTCAGCGTCACTGATCGTCAGGAAAATGGTAATAAAGCCACGTTCCAAAGAGGTAAAAGATAACAAGTTATGAACACTAGTCTGAGCTTCTCACAGCTTAACCACAGAAGTGCTGTGTGTCCAGTGGTCCTGTTGTTAGACATCTAAAGGCCTCAAAGCAGTATGTCAGACACTGTGCCGCCTTCCCCATCACAGGCACTCCCCTCAGCCATGTGGTGGGGCTGGCTGAAGGACACACACAGTGGGTATGTTCCGCCAGAGCGATGGGCTCCTGTCGTTATCCATGTGGCGTCATCCAGACACAGAAAGACAAGCAGCGCATAATCTCAGCCCTCCTGTGTAAGCTAAAGACATCTGCTATGCGGCCAGAAGTAGCCGTGCATGCCTGTAGTCTTAGCACTTAGGAGACAGGCAGGAGAATTAGCAGTTCAAGGTCGGCCTTGGCTGCGGCAGGAGAATTGAGAGTTTAGAGCCCAGCCTGTGATTACACAGTGGGTCTCCAGCTGAGAACAGTGGTGGCCAGAGGCCCACAACTGGGGGGTATTGGGGAGAGGTTGGTCAGCGGATGCTGGGTTTCATGTAGCTAGGAGCGGAAATAGTTCTGGCGTACTGTCACCATGCTGGGGCCGTAGGTGACAGTTATATGCTGGGCACTTTAAAAAGCTGCAAGAGGAGATTTACAGAAACAACTGTTTGAGGAAATAGATACATGTACTCTTGTGCGGTAATATTACGTGGTACCCCATAAATGTATATAATTTTTGTCTTGATATATCAGTTAAAAAATAAAATTTAGATTAAAATTTTTAAAACATTTAAAATATGATTGCTCATGTATTTGATCCCAGCATTTGGCAGGCAGAGGCAGGAGGATCTCTGTGAGTTTGAGGTCAGTCAGCTATGTATAGCAAGTTCTAGGGCAGCCAAAGCTATACAGAGAGACCCTGTCTCAAAAAAATGAGGTGGTGGGCAGGAGAAAAAGAAAGGCTATGAATTAATTCTTTTTCTGAGCACCTGCTTTGTCTGGAAGCCCTGTTGAGAAGGAATTGGAACTTGGCAGCCATTCTTTCTCAAAGGCCAGCAAGTGTCCTAATGCCCTTTGTCTCCACTTTTGATCACTAGGGCCGTCTGCTGAATCTGAGCTGTTCCACAGTGCCTACATTTGTGCTCTCCATCACTGCTACCACTCAGGTAAGATCTGCAGCAGGACAGTGATGGGCTGAAGAGGAGCTCCAACAAGCAGGTCCCGTGGCTTTGGAAGGTAATAGTGCACGTTTCTCTGCTTCCCTAGGCTCTCGCCCTGATAGAGCTCTACAACGCTCCCGAGGGACGCTATAAGCAGGATGTGTACCTGTTGCCCAAGAAGATGGGTAAGCTGCTCTTCCTTACCAGAGAAGTTCACTGTCGGAGCTGAGGAGGCTGGGAGGTTTTGACTTTCCGTGGGGTAGGAGGGGAAGGGAGGGAGGAAAATAGATCCTTATCATAAAGAGTAGGAGCTTGGCCTCTAGACTCTATTCCAAGGTGATGTGTATAATTTTCCACATAGGTTTTTCTAGAGAGGTTCTTGCGTTCTGCTGCGATTTAGAATACCTACATGAGAACTATTTTGTTATACCCTATTACATTGCATCACATTATATGTTTTGAGACAGGGTCTCACCATGTAGTCAAGGCTGGCATTGAACTCACTCTTACTTCCTCTCTGGGATTATAGCATGTGCCATCATGCCCGGCCTACCAATTCAATTTTAAAGATTTTTTTTTTTTTTTTTTTTTTTTTTTTAGATACCATGTATGCAAAAATCTCAAAGGAGGGCAAAAATATTCCCCCCAAAAGAGAATACCTCTGGCCTCATGATGTCCAGCTTATTTCAGTTCTAAGATACTAAATGCCTCTTCTTTGAAGGGATGCAGGCTCCTGTAATGAATTAATTATGTGGTTTTTGGTGTAATAGAAACACTAAACTGTCTTAAATGGTTAAAGAGCCTATCTCGGGCGCGTAGGGGATGCATTGTGTTTATAAACTCAGGAAGTAAATCAGCTCTGGTTTTGCTATTACAAGTTGCAATTTTTCCTCTTTAATAGTGTTTGGATGGGTCTGGTGTGGTGACACAGGTCTTTAATTCCAGCACTGGGGAGGCAGAGGCAGGTGGATCTCTGTGAGTTCAAGGACAGCTTAGTCTACATAGTAAGTTTGGGGACAGCCAGGGCTACATAGAGAAACCCTGTCTCTAAAAAAGAAAAAAGCAAAAAACAAAACTACCACAGTTTGGAAGACTACAACACGAACAGAGCAGTCAGTCTGTCCTCTTTGGATTTATGATGAGGCTGTAAATACAATGAATTCGAGGGATGTAAAATTACTAAAGCAAAGCACACAGTTTTAGGTCCTTTTTAGTTATTTCTCCCCAATTCCCATGGGTGTTAATTTTTCTGGAATGTATATTTAGCATTTCTAGTATTTTCATGATATAATACAGATATTGAAGCAAAAGTAAAGGTGGGGCTTCCCATGTCTAAGTCCCGTACTATCCCATTATCCCTTTCTTTTCTGGGGAACAAGCTTCAGGGTGGAAAGAGTTACTGGAAGAAATGCTTGGCTTTGAAAGTCACTGGACTTGAAGCTGAAGGCAGTCATTTTTTAGAATTGAAGGCCTAAGAGCAAAAGTCAAACGTTTTCCCGTTATCTCCAAGAACTAGAAATGTCTTCCAATGTTTTGAGGCTAGCTTGAGGAGAACAGCCAGACAGGAGCCATGCTAACCCCATGACTGGTGTGGTCTCTGCAGATGAGTACGTGGCAAGCCTCCACCTGCCCACCTTTGATGCCCACCTGACAGAGCTGACAGAGGAGCAGGCCAAGTATCTGGGACTCAACAAGAACGGGCCCTTCAAGCCCAACTACTACAGGTGCCTTGGGCTCCGGAGACCAGGGAAGGTTGGGGGGTGAAGAGCTGATCCATGCATGTTCTACCACACACCTTTCCATGAACTTGGAAAAACTGGTCTCCCAGCTCAGAATATTCTGAGAACTTGTTTAAACACTGGCAGTCTCCACACAGACACACCAATATTAGCCTTTTGAAATTACATCTTTACCTGTTCATTTTGTGACTGTGTGTGTGTTGGGGGAGGGGGCAGAGGATAACCTGTGGGAGTGAGTTCTCTTTCTCCCGTAGTCCCGGGGAGAGTGGCAGGCATGGTGGCAGGCGCGTGTGTCCACTCAGCCTTCTCGCTGGCCCATGATGTCTGTGCGTGCCCTAGAAGAGCCCTGGGTCCCTGTTAGAGCTGTGGGCAGGCCCCTTCTGTCCCAGCCTCACCAGCAGATAGCATCGGTTTCATCTTCCTTTTTCCCACCAGGTATTGAGTTCCTGTAATGCAAGCCCTTGGACGCGTTAGGGAGCAGAACCAAGCCTTTTCTCAGCTGCTCTCCAAGGAAGAAGCAGCCAGCTGCCCGCCGTGCTCACCCTGTGTTAGGATGTTTATTTATTAAAATCTAGATTCCTGTGCCTGTAGCCAGGGCCCAGAGCGCGGTTTCTCCTGGGACCCCGAAAGCCGCAGACGACAGGCTGAGGAGGAAGGAACCAGCCGATCTTCTAGTGCTTCATTCACGCCATTGCCCGCTGATGGAGTCCTCAGCCATGACCGCTTTTCTTTCTGGGCTCAGGAGTCAGTTCAGGGATGCCAGACTCCTTGTTACTTAGGGTTTTCTGGAATAAATTTTCAGCAGCTGCCTTTCTCAAAGCTTTGGTCCTTTCCCAGGTGAGGCCTTTCGGAAGCCGCTGAATTGACAGGACCTGACTGTCAAGTCAGGTCTCGGCCTTGATAGTTACTGTCACTGCCTTCCTGATAAAAAGGCTAGTGAGGTAGGAGTGGGAAGATCTCGAAGCTGCAGCAGGAGCTCAGCTGTGCCTGTGTCCGTGCCTACTGGGGTCTCTTGTCTTACCCAGGCTTCTTTCGTCAATACTATGTCCGTTTCAATGCATCCTGGTTCCAAGAGGGTTGTGCCTCCATGATCTTTGTAGCTCTGGTGCTGGCCAGGCATTTGTTTTGCTTTCTGACCCCACTAACCTCTGCTCAGGAAGTAGGGGACCAGCTCCACTGGCCCATAGTTTGCTTCCTTGTAACTTAACTGGGCCGTCTCCTAGGAGGCCCTGTCTCAGAGAAGGGGCTTGAAGGGGCAGTGCTTCCTGACACTTGGGTTCTTGCCTGAAACGGCCTCTCGAACCCCGCTGGCAAAGGTGGTTGGTGGAGATTTGCAGCGGGGGTACACCTTGATGTCCTAAAGAATCAAGTCTGCCTGTTTTCCAGGAAAGATTGTTGGCCTGCCTGCAGAAAACGGGGACTCTAAAGAGCATCCATGCGGTGAGGACTAGTTTGAGGGCTGGGATGGCGCAGCGGCAGAGCACTTGCCTGGCCCTGAGCTGGGAACGGGGATGGGAACTAGTTGGAACTTCATCAGACATTCCTGCCTCTGGCTGTTGCCGTTGGTGAGAGTGAGATATACAGCCGGGTGGCTCATCTTTCCCTGCTGCTGCTGTGTCTTTATGATCTGGCCCCTTCTGCTTAAGGCTTCTGTTTCTTAAGTAACTCCAGCAGTGTAAAATAGTAACGTAAACTGTGGTTTTCTCATTCCACCCAAGAGTTGGGTTTCCTTTGGAGACAGACTGACTGGTTTCAAGAATTAAAATCGAGTGACCCTAGGAATCTTGTTGAATGAGTCTCTCTCGAGGCCCACCCTATTTACAAGTCTCATGTTTGTTTCCCACATATTTCTTATACTGTTCTGCTTCAAAGTCCAAGACCAAGGTCTTTCAGACAGAGGACACCCAGAGCCCTGAAAGTTTCCATCCCCCACCACCACCACCGTCTGCAGTGTCCCCTGGTCTTGGTGTGTACCCTGAAGCTAGTCTGGAAGTGTCCTTATTTTTGAAGACAGAGAATCAGAGCTGGGGTAGGTGGCTGTTGGCCTTATTAAGTGATGGACAGGCTTAGCGCAGAGGATGGCTTCCTCTCAGGCATCATCTATGACTGCATTCTGTTTTGTAGGCAAGATCACAAAGGCCGAAGATTCCAGCAACACCCTCTAGTCTGTTTGCCTCATTCTCACTTTTGTATTAATAGCTGATGGTACCCCTCTCCCACTACCACCTCTGTTTTGGTTTTCTGTTCTTGCTGTTTTGAGATAGTCTCACTGTGTAACCCAGGCTAGCCTCAAACTCATGGCAGTCCGCCTGCCGTGGCCTCCTGAGGCATGTGCTGGCATGCCTGGCTGCCTCTTAATTGGATCTCTTTAGCAAAAGCCTCAGCGCTCTGTGCCTCATCTTGCACTCAGAGCGGATTCTGTTAGGCGGGCGTCTGGCGTGGCCGCACGTCATGACCTGCCGGTATTCAGCAGAGCCTTGCTCTCTGCAGCTCCCTGCGGCTGGCACTTAGAGTGTGCCTTGCCACAGCCAGTGACAAGACCATTCCAAGTCGGGAAGGGGCCACATGGCCTCCTGAGCTGGGCAGCTTGCACTCGGCTGCCCATGCTGAGGTATCTGCCTGTGCGTGTCAGATGACATCTGTTCTCCTCTCTCTGGAGACTTCTGTGTCATCAGTCATTAAGAAGCAGATGTTAATAGGGATGTAGGCAGTGACAGATACTTGACTAGCATGTGCCGGGCCTAGCAAATCCCCAGGACAGAGGGCTTCTGAGGAGCTGGGGAGAGAGGGAAGGCAGCCCAGGACTCACATCCAGGAGTTAGGGTGTTAACACTCTCCTGCTCCTGTCTGTCTGTCCTGTACGCTGGCAGCAGGTTGCAGCTCCTCCTCTTAGATGCACCCTGGCTGCCGGGAGGCAAGGATGAGAAGGTGAGCCTGGCTGGCTGTGTGGCCCTAGCCCACGGGATCCATTTATCTACAGTGAATTTGTGCTGCTGCAGGGCCTTGTCGCTTTCTCACTGGAAATATTGTTTCTTTTTCTTGTTCAGCAAATGCCTCTAACCTACCCTCCCTCGGCCCTCCTCGTGTTTCCCTCCTGCGAGAGCACAGAGCACGGCTCCCCACAGCCACACACTCCTGCAAAGCTTTTTTGCTGCTTGGCTTTTCTCTGAACAGATCTAAAATTGCTGCTCCTGTGGTTTCCTCAGAATTAACTTTGTCATGGTTTAAAAAAAAAAAATCAGAATGCATTGTTGCATTAAGCTTTTTTAATAAAGGAAAATTATGGAAAGAAAATAGGAAACACCAGCAAATTCTATATTGACAAGTCTAAACTATATATATCTATATATATCTATATATCTATATGAATAATCATCTAGTTCTTACTGTCATCTTACTGAAAGGAACGAAACCGCTAAGGATCACCAGTTCTGAGAAGCTCTTGGAAATCTTTATGTCTAAGTGATTGTATTAGATCAGCAATAATGACTATGTAATCTCAAAAAATAAAGTATTCTTAAAACTCATCTGTGTCTTGAGACCATCACTTGCTTCTGTGAACTAGGAATGCAGAGATGCGAGCAATGCGGGCAACAGACCAGCAAGGCTCCCTGCCACCGGACGGAGGGAAAAGCTGATGCAGTTTCCAGCAGGTGTGCTGGAGTGACCGGCACCCCGAGAGTCTTGGTTTTTTGGTTTGATTTGTTTGTTTTTCGAGACAGTGTTTTTCTGACAGCGTTGGCTGTCCTGGAACTAACGCTGTAGACCAGGCTGGCCTCGAACTCACAGTTTCCAGGAGCTGAGAGTAAAGGTGCGCACACCACTGCCAGGCTGTCGTCTTTGACACTGAGACAGTCTGCTGACAAGTGCTTTGCCCCTCCCACCCTGACCTCCACCCGACTGTGCAAGGAGCCCACCTCAGAAGCACAACCTCGAGGAGGTGAGAACTGTGAGGTTAAGATCTTAAAAAGTTAAAAACAAAGTCTAAAGCGTGGCTCTAGGTCACCCAGTACCGCTGCGTTGCCCTGCTGATGGGACCGAAGGTCTGGGTATACCCCGGCAAAGAGGGAGAGGGTCCAGCGGACTAATCTCTAAGTCAGTAAGTGGACCGTGAGTCCAGCTGCCTGTCTGTCTCACCCATTGGTAGGGCAGCCATTGGGGCTGATTTTCTCGTAGTTTACTTGCTTGTGAACTGTGTATTACTTTATGTTAATGTTTTATTAGTCTGTTACATTAAAAAATACTGCTTAAAGTAGGGCTGGAGAGATAGCCCAGTGGTTAAGAGCACTGGCTGTTCTCCCCGAGGCCCCGGACACCGGCCAGTGTGTGTAGCACAGTTCCGAGGCCCCGGCCCGGCCCCCGGACGCTCATGCTGATTCTGGGTACCCCGCCTCCCCCCCCCATTCTGGGTCTCCCATGAGGGCTCTCACCACACCCCACACGAGCTCTTTATTATCCTCTCTGCCTGCTTGTCTGAAAACGAGGCGTTGAAGACTGCCGCCTCTTGTTAAGCCTAGTGCCGGGCGCTATCCAACGGAGTGTTTTACCTTCGTGAGTCACAGTGCTTAAGTGCAGAAAGGAATTTGCTTCTATCTGTCCCATCAACCCTCTGTCCGAAGCCTGAGTTTGAAGTGAAACCTGAGTTTTGGGACAAGGGAAGTTGGCAGTATAGTGTTTGGGGCTGTTTTATTATTAAAGACTGATTCTGGCTATGTATCTGTGTGTGGGTGTGTGCGAGTGAGTGCTGGTCACCTGCTAGGGTGCTGGAAGGGCAGCTAGTGCCCCTAACCACTGAGCCGTCTCTGGCTCTAGCAGTCTAGATTTTACAATGCTGGCAGCAGCTCTTAGCAGATGGAAAGACACAGACAGCCTGACAGCCCGTCCCAGGTGCTGCTGGGTGCTTCAGTGGCCGGCAGCACCCACGACTGTCACTCTTTGGTGAACAAATAAGCTTCCGTCTCAGTTTTCAGTCGATTGAAGTTTCCTGTGACCTCATGCAGTTTTTCTTCAGACAACTTCCTTTTCATGGAAAGTTCTGAACATCCGTGCGGGCTCACATTGAGCAGACAGATGTCCAGCCATTGCTGGTTTCCAATCCACAAGATCCTTTGCAGTCTTCACATGTTCAAGTCCCGTCTCTGGAAGCAGAGCCAGATGGAGCTCTAAGTGGGGAGTGCCTCAACCCCACCCCCAGCAGAATTGTTGCCCTTTGCCCTCAGGACAAGCAAAAGGAGGAAGAAGCCCTCACACCTCGCCTGTGAGGCTGTTGCTGACTGGCTGGGCTCTCAGGGAAACCACTGCTGGGACTGTCAGTCCCAGAGTCTGGCTTCTCAGGAGGGAGCATGCAATGAACTCTTTAGAAAGAACCCGATGAGCTGTGCTAATGGCAAGTCTGTCACACAGAAGCGGGGGAAAGGAGGCGTGGGTTGCGAATCTTAATGTAGATTGTACATTTTTAAGAGTTTAACAAATTATACCCTGAAAAATTCCAAAACTGAGTAGTTGTGCCTTGAGCCTCAGACTTTCTTGGAAATTCACATGAGTTTATTTACAAAGCCACAGTATTACAACAGGAGATTTTGCTCCCCAGGGGACGTATTGCAATGTTTAAAAGATATTTTTTGTTTTCATAACTAAGGGGAAAATGCTACTGGCATCTTTTAGGAGCAGCCAAAAGTTCTGCTGACCAGCTTAAATAATAATTTTTCTGCCCAAAATGTCAATAGCACATACTTTGTGAACCCCTGTGTTAAACATACAAAATGTGGCTGCAAAAGCCAACGAAGAGCCAGGCATAGTGGTGCACACCTGTAATCCCAGCACTCTGGAGACTGGCGGGTCAGGAGTTCAAGGCTATGCTCAGCTAAACCTTGTTTGAAGCTGACCCGAGCTACGTGAGCCCTTGACTAAACTCAAGACCACACTGAAGCCTAGCCCTCCAGAGGAGCCTACATTCACAGTAGAGCGAGAGCAGGGAGGGAAGACTGGGGTGCTCGTGAGATACTGGGGGCCAGGAGAGGTACCCAGAAATTTCCAAGGAATGGGGTCTTGTTCAGTGTATCCCTCCCCTGCCACCTACCAACTTACACAAAGGTAAGGGAGAAAGAGAGTTGAGGGTCTGGGGAGATGGCGCAGTGGTTAAGAGTACCAGTTGCTCTTGCAGAGGACCCGAGCTCAGTTTCCAGGGCCAGCGTGGCAGCTTCCAACCTCCTGTAACTCCAGTCCCAGGGAAAGGCCTGTGGTGTGCAGACATACATATAGACAAAACATAAGTAATATAGCTTTTTTTAAGAAATTGGGGGGGTGCTGGAGAGACGGCTCAGAGGTTAAGAGCACTGGCTGCTCTTGCAGAGGTCTTCCAGAGTTCAATTCCCAGCACCCACATCCACAGCTCACAACCATCTATAGTGAGATCTGGTGCCCTCTTCTGGCGTGCAGGTGTACATGCAGACAGAACATTGTATACATAATAAATCTTAAAAAAAAAAAAAAAAAGAAAGAAATTGTATTAAGATATGCACAGTTTCTGGTGTCTACAATACCAGTATTCAGGAGGGTGAAGCAGGACGACCATATGTTAGAGACCAGGCTAGGCTACAGTTCTAGGCTATCCTGGGCTACAATGTGAGACTCGTGTAAAGAATAGAACTTTCCCTAAGATACAGGAAAGGAGGGAAATGTCATTGTTTGAGGAGAATACAAATACTACAGTTTCGGATCCCAGCCAAGTTGGTTTGACAGCAACACAGCTGAGTGGAGTAAGGACCCCCCCACACACACACACACAGTTTTTCCAGAGGAGAAGGGTCCTAAGTAGGATCTGAGGAGCAGTAGCTGTGCTGGCTAGTTGTGTGTGAACCTGACACACGCCAGAGTCCTGGAAGAGGGAACCTCCACTGAGCAGACTGACCTGTGGCCAGCTTATGGGGCATGTTCTTGATTGGTGGTAGGTGTGGAAGGTCCTGGGTCAGGACCACTGTAGCCAGTGCCACTGAGCAGGCAGTCCTGAGCTGTATAAGAAAGCAAGTGAGCGAGCAAGCAGAAAAGGAAAGGAAGGGAGAGAAAAAGAAAAAAGAGAAGAAAAGAAAAAGAAAGAGAAAAAAAGAGAAAGGAAGGAGGAAGAAAGGAAAGGAAGGAGAAAGGAAAGAGGGAGGGAGGAAGGAGGGAGGAGGAGAGGAAGGAAGGAAGGAAGGGAGGGAAGGGAGGGAGGGAGGAAGGAGGGAGGAGGAGAGGAAGGAAGGAAGGAAGGGAGGGAGGGGAGGGAGGGCGGAAGGAAGAGTGAGCAAGCTGTGAGGAAAAGCCTGTGAGCAGCTTCCTCAAGGCTTCTGTAGGTCCTGCCGCAGCTCCCCTCGGTAACGGGCTGTGAGCTATCAGGTGAAAGAAGTCCTCTCCTGCCCAATTTGCTTTTTATCTTACTTTATTTATTTTGGTGTTTTATCACAGCAGAGGAAAGGCTAAGACTGTTAAACCAAAGAACGGGTTTCTTTCCTAGAACAGCATACTCACCTCGCTGACAGAAAGCGCAGGCGTCCCCTGTGCTTCAGGACTCCCTCCTCGGTAAAAATCGGGTTGGCGAGAAGAACCCGGCAGAGAGGCGGGGGCCGGGGAAACGCTGCGGTGCTCGGCACAGCCCCGCCCGCTCCCCTCGGCCCTCCTAAAGCGGTGGCTCACGGCGGCGGCTCCCGGTCCTCCGGCCACCGGCCGGCCGGAGCCGGGAGCGCAGGCCGCGGCGGAGCCGGGCCGGACCCCGGGGCTGGGGCCGCGCCGGGAGGAGCAGACCGCCCGGGCTCCGGGGCCGCAGGCGCGGGGCGCGAAGCCTCGGTCCGGGCGGCCGCGGACGCCGGGGGCGCGGGGCGCCGATTCCTTGAAAGAGCC